GATATTAAAATGAATAGTAAAAAAAATACTCGACAAGGCTAGATGTCGCGCTTTTATTGAATATTGAAAAAAAGATGGTCGCCCTGACCTATGAACACAACAATCAACAAAAGCGAAATGGAGGGCATAAAGAAGCAGAAAGAAAGAAAATCGAAAATAAACACGAATATAAACAAGAAATTAATTAGATAAATGAATGAGAAATGATTCATCATTATTCACTTAGGTATTTTTTTATTTACAAAAGTGAAAATGAGTGAACCTGGATGACACAAAAATGTGTGTGTGAGAGAGAGAGAGGGAAACAAGAAAAGAAGACAGAAGGGGAGAAAGACAACAGGCTTCGAGACTATGTATGCCTCATCTTAATTATTTATATATTAGAATGCGAAATAATATCACAGATGACACCAGACAACAGTGATGCTTCTTATTACTGCCAAGTAAATAACACTATTTAACACTGAAAGCAACACTTTACACACACACACACAACACAGACTACTACACAAAACACAAGCATGATATACACATATTATATATGTATCTATTAAGCGTACAATCACAAAATTATTGAAAAGAATGTAGGGTTGTGAATTCTATCGACTTAATTCACAATAAATTATTAGCTTTATCGGCCGGAAACTGTTATGCCAAACTGTTATCAGTTTATTTGGCATGTGCATATACACCAATGCGTGTATGAATACTTAGACACAAGGTGTAAAGAAAAAAAGTAAGTAGATTAGAGATCAGAAAGAAAAAAAATGAAATAACTGATGATTAGTTGTTAAATACTAAACTGTTAACCAATAAATACTACTACTACTTAGTTAGTATCTGTGTACATTCACACATAGAGGTCTAAGCGAAATTATTCTATACAAACTGAAAAGAAAATTGTACATAATTGAGTTGTTATCTATCATTCCGTTAGTATGTCTACGCCTTATTTTGTTTGTTAACACTTACCTACACATACGTGCAGATCATATACATGCACACCTAATACACATCATTATGACATTGAATTCTCATAGTTACTAAGTGAATTAGAAATATAGACAGATGGAGTGGATGTATGTTAGTAATCAACAAGTTTATCAGTCAGAAGAAGATATTCACTACTATGATATGTATATATATATTGCATGAAATGGATGACTACGACTCGACCAGTATTCAAACAAACACATTGTTATTATTATTATTATTAGTAGTAGTATTAGTATTAAATGGTTTCAATGATTAATGACTGCAACACTCTGACCAATAGATAATATCTACAGTAAAACATTTCAATTAAATCGATGAAATAAGAATATGTTCACTTAATTTTTCTTCTGTTTTAAAAACAAAAAACAAGCAGGAAAAATCTATACTGACTTAATTGAAATTGGTTCGAATAATACCTACTGGGGCAACAAACTACGGTATTCAGTTAAATTTTATTTTTAGAAAAAAAACCCTACCCTATACAAAGACAACCTGCAATCCGTGTGCTTATTTACATAACTGACATGTTGTCTAGTCTGCATTATATGTGCAATATAATATTTGATTTGTTCATATAAACAAGAGCAATGTGTTAGTGTAAGTAGTAGCATAGTTGAATTTAGAAACTAGTTATTATAGTGAGAGAAATTTTAGACATTTGTATAAAAAGAAATAGGAAAAGCCAAAGCACATAAACACACTGTCTTTGTCATGAAACTGTGGGTGTTTGTGTGCATTGATTACTATGACGAAATCAGTTTACACTATCAATAGACTTTCAAGGTTACAACTGGGGAAGCACAGAGAGATGATGTCATTTTGTAAAATGTCCTAACGGTGGTATAAAAAAGATAGCTGGATAGAACTGGCCAAGTATCGGTTCATCACGACTTCATTAATTAAGATCTTATAGATGATGATGTTGATGATGTAACTCAAAGGCCGGAGACATTTATTCAGACATTGTTCAGAATAGAAATCAGTGAAAATTCCAACACAGGCAACGATTGAAGATCAGGAATCACTAAACAGCTGTTTTATTCTAGTATGAGAGATAGTATGCTTGTAATAGTCTCACTGCAATATAGCGAATGTAGAAAAATGGGTAATGTTGAAGCATAAGATTACATTGACCAGAACAACGATGAAAATGCTTCACGTGTCTATGAGACGAATCATTTAGTTTTGAATAAATATTTCATTCATTTAAAATTAGCATCACAGCTATTGAACGATTAAAATTGTTTTTATTTTCTTCTAGCAATTCATTTGGTACAAAATAAGTAATAATAAATATTATTGTTAGAAAATTATACTGACACTTTAAATATATATATATATATATATATATATATATATATCAAAACTCTTTCAAGTGAACTTAGTAAATATTTATGATTTACAATAACATTCTTTGGATTGTGGATATCAGCGATAAAATCCGATGTAACAGTTGTTCATTTTCGATTTCTTAATGTCAAGATATTGGATCAGTAAGTGAATTTGACAAAACATTTCAATAACATGCCCTGAGTAAATGACCAAGATCTAAGGTCTACTGGATTCAATATCATGTGTATGATTTGATCATAGATAGATGTGTGTAATGTCAACAACGCCACTTGAACAAAACAACAGTTCAAAAACTCTTCTATTTAATATTTGATAAAGTTTTGTGGAGATTGATTTAATTTATAAGCTGTTTTTGCCATAGTTTCATCTCATTTGGTGGATCAATTAATCAAACTAGGATAGTCATTGCACTAGCAACTATACGATGTTCCTGAAGTTCTGATAGGAGGTCCTAATCAACAATAGAGTTCAAACATATAGAGACCAAAATCAATTGTCAGCAAAAGACTTTAAATCAATGGCTCTTCTAATGGTTAAATGTTCGCCAAAGAAAGGAGCCCGGAGGTAATAAGTGTCCATTGCCCCACCAGTCTCACACTAGAACGAAACAGCTATCCAATGTGTTCTTGGTTCGCAATGGTAACTCTACTGAAATAAATTTGTGACGGACACTACCATTATTTGTCAATGGCTTGTTGGTAACGAACCTATGGTTGGTGACATCATTGTTACAATTAAGTTGAAGTTAAATGAATTGTTGTGTAGTTGAGACTAAACAAACAGAAAAGTGCCATTTATATTTGAAGAATAAATCATGCAACCAATAATACCAGCTCATCATTAAACTAGTTTCAACTGTTATAAATTAATTCAGATTAGAGCAGTAAAGTAAACAATTATTTAGGTAAATATATACCAAAAGAAACTATTTTCAATAAATTGACTGATTATAATTGTTTGTACAATTTAAATTAGCTAATGCTGTTGTTTTTCTCTCTGAAAAAGCGACGACAACAACAGACAAAAACCACTAGTACATAAACAGACAGATGCAGACAAAGTAAAGTACCAGTGAAAAGAAAAACAAGGGTGAAGAGACAGGCACAACAGCAGCAGAATGAGAAAGCACACTTGGTTAGAAAGAAAAGTAAACATTATCGTCAACTATACTACACACAACACTCGTTTTCAAATCCACGTAGTTAGGTGGGTAGGTAGGTGGATTTAAAGAAAATACACTTGTGTAAACACTTGAATAAACATAGAGGTGACTCATTCACACTGGAGTCTAATCGCAATAATAATAATAATAATAATAATAATAATAATAATAATAATAATGGTAATCATTAAAATTACAAATAGCATTACTTAACAACGTCAGGCAAAATTAACTAATGTTACCACTAACCTGCATTGTTTGTCGAATTGATGGTTCCAGAATGGCTGGATCAATGTATGACCAACCTTTGACTTTCCGCTGGATGCATATATCGAACACAACAATTAAGTGGATAAACAAGGAGAATAAGAATTCAGTTGAATACATGAAACCGAAACATGCTAATTAATCGGGTAATGAGGTTTTATAAGATAGAAATCAGATGAATGGAGTTCATACTGTCAAGGTCACTCACTACTAGTCAGTAAACAAATTTTAGACGGCAAAAAGTACACAGCGACAATTTTTGAGGCTTGAAATTCAAAAGTTCATACATAGTAAAAATGAGTAGAGATGACACTTATAATTTCGAAAGCTCTATTTGTAAAACAATTCAAGTTCAAAATGTAATTGATACAACTACAATTCATGTCAGTTAGCTGCAATGTAGTGTGGTGGATGATACCGTCAAATAATGTTATAGTTACGTCAATTTATTATGTTGTTCACACTTTATTGCTTACACGATGAATAACTATCACAATGTATATATACCGTCAGTAATGTTAGAATACTTTGAAATAGATATACATCTACCTATGAGTAATACATGTTGTATGCATTGTTTAATGTTTCATAATTGTATTATTTACAGAACAGTCAGTGAAAATAATTTATATGAATTATACCTTTTCAGATAGTGATAGAGGGAGATATTGTTGGTCGGCAACCTAAGTAAGTAAGTAAGTAAGTAAAGTAAGTAAAGTATGTATACCTTTTCAAATAATTTACTCTTATTCTATGCTTAAATATTGCCTTTATTTAGTATCAACCTGACTGTAAGTGTAAATAAGAATGGATTCTATGATTATTTACAGAAAATTTTGTTACGATAGATACGATAACAGTTTATGGTTGATTATGATATGAAATCAGTCGAATATAAAACTGTTAAAGAGTTTTACTAATTCACCTGGACGACAGTGGAATGTTTTGCTTTGTTGACATTTTGAAGAAACTAGAGATAGTAGTATACCTTGTCAACAATGAATTACTACTATGCTAATAGTCATGGAATGATAACATGTTGAATTTCTACTAAACACTAAATATATTGGATTGAATAACCAGTGAAACTCATGCATTGATCAAGATTATATCAGAGTTTTTATTTATTGTTTAAATGATATGTAATTATTTATATATCTTATAGTATTGATCTTGTAGTGATTACAGTTTGATGTATGTATTAATACATTATATGACTTACTTCAGGACCTTTACGCCTAGAACGTTTTGTACATTCAGAAGGAGCACAGCATACAGGTGTCCAATCAGGCTAAATAGTGAGTATAAAAGAAAAAAAATAAGTGAGACGAATGAATTGAGAACAGGCACAAAGTAAGTGAACACTACTTGCATAATACATAGTAATATGGACAAACCATTTGCAATGGATACAACAAGTGAAATGAATTAACTCTTTATCAATTTTTTTTTCTATGTAAAACAGTTAGAAAGCACAATAAGCTGAGCACTTTGCAACGGACTAATGATATGTCTATCTGCTGTTTTCAATACTGATCAGATTGTATCAGTCAAGTTACATACGATTCAGCCACCATAGTTTAAGTAGCTTGATATTGTATGAACCTTGTGTGTTATGACAACACACACATATGCATATGCACTAGGCTACATGATGTTCATGACCAATTGACGAAATACTTGAAAGGAAAAGGGAAATTTTTTTTGAATAATTCAATGTTTTGAACTTTAAATGTCGGAAATGAAAACAATGAAACTGAAAGAAATAGATTGAATTAAGCGATTAATCAATTGGGAAAGCATAGCAAGTCAAACGACTAACTGATTGTGAATAAAATGTGATCATGATGATGATGAGAAATTATTTCATACACTTTTATTTATCGAATATAATCAATTTAAAAATATCCTCAGATATAAGAGAATAACTATAATGATAGTGTACTGAAATGAATTTATCTGCGGTGGTGTTTCGTTCTCTGAGCTGGATGTTTTGGTTGTGGAGCTTTCATCATGATCCACCCGAGCTACAAATCTTCTCCACCATCTCATAATTTATTTGCAAAATACTTTAATATATACAAATGATTCATTCCAGAGAATTAATTAATTGAACGTTGGAAACTGTCTATTTATTGTTGCCTGTATTTTTTTTCTTTTGTAAAGGGTTAAGGTTAAAATTTGTTGTTATTGTTAATAATTAAAGACTGATTGTATTTGATCAAGTAAGATAGGAGTTTAAATATAGGCTGATTGAGTAAATGCTTCACTATTGCCTAATAATTAAAATTGACCGTTCACTGAATAATGACTGATTTCATGTTTGTTTGATCTATTTAGCGCTGATGAAATCCTGTCTCTTGACAAACTCAAATCAATAGACAAAATTCTATTCATATTCAGACGAATAGATTAGCATGACACGGTTACTGTTTAATGCTAGATTAACTCGAATTATTTTCATGCTCTACAAGATGTTTGTTGGGCATCGAATGAGTCTATAACTGTTAGACAGTATGAAGCTAGTTCGAACTCCACACGGGACACATCAGCTCCCTCTAAACTACATGACAATATTTAGATTCAGGCTTCAATATCAACTTCCTGAGATTTACCTAAAGTATTTCAAGTCAATTAACACTTAGTCTCTTAAACATCAATATGATGAATTTAGTGACTAAATATCAGTTTCTTTGTAACGTTTATTTTCTTTCTTAATTTAAAAAGCCTATTTCACCAGATACTGGGATCTGAACAACAGTCTAAGCATGAAGGTTGATTATACCATCCGACTGCCCAAACTGTAGTACGTGTAATTTACAATTTGAATCCCTTGATCTGTAACGACTGATATCTCATGGACTGAGATTGTACGGTTGAAGCGATCAATTCTACACCGTTCTAGAATTTTCACAAATCAATCAAACTGTCATGATGATAAAAGTGTTTTTCGTAAAGAACAAATGAATTCGTCAAGTTTTGAACAAGAAAAAAATTTTTAAATACTAACAATAACAAGAAAGTAAAATAAAATAAAATAAAATAAACATACTCCAGGATAATATTTAAATGGTTTCTCGCCAAAATTTAATTCCACAGTAGAATTCAATAAAGATACAGTTGGATATAATGCTGTTAAACTTTTAGAATGTAACAATTCCGGTGGAATACGATAAGCGTCACCAAATTCCAAACCATTTTTTGACCATTTAATAGTATGCTCAATTGTATCCAAAAAGCAACCGATTACGTCATCTTTGGCGAATGCCTAAAAGATAAGGAAAATAAAGAGATAACAGAATGTATTTAAGTGACTAGTGGTTACAATTATTGTATAGACTTCAAATAGGAGACTTATAGCCTGTTACAACTCAAGCCAATTATTTCATGTTTTATTTGATCACTTCCTAACTCTTGTACCAGTCAACATTGTGAAATGGATGGGCTTGCACATTGTAACCTCGAATCATGAGGATTTACAGTTTCGTCACATGGACTTACCATTTTTAAAAAATACTTTGAAGATAACTTGTGACCAACATAAGTTTCCTACTTTTATGGGGTACATTTCAAAGGCATATACGATAAAACAGATCTATCTGTGGAACAGTAATAGTCACCTCTCTGTGTATTGAAGGACGAGTATGTTCCAAATGTGAAAGATTGGTGGGAAGCAGACAAGCATTTCTAACACTATCTAATTGTCTAAACTGGAGTTTGTAGGACGTGAATTAAAAATTTATAACTCGGAAGTTAGATTTAATTTGTATGCACAAAATTGTCAATGATTCATTATGTTTGGCTCTCAAAGAGATTATTGCACAACATAGTTAGCATTCAGCACGACGATCGAAGGTCGAAATCGTGACATTCATGTATCACAAACAGTATTTAACCTCTAGATCGCTGAGCCACTATTCAATGATGTCCAATAAATCCACGAAACAGTAGCACTACTTTGCAATGCCACTGATCGATAACTGATTCACATCCAACATTGTTGAAATTCAATAGCGTTCATGGCTTTTCACTAGAACTTCAAAGATTATTACTCGAAAGTAGTTACCAGCGATCCGATGTATGAAAGTTACCAATCTCTATAAATCTTTTACTCTATTATTATTATTATTATTATTATTAATATTATTATTAATATTATGTGGATGATTTGTTTTTAACCTACTAAGTTGTGTGATATGTTTTACAAACATAATTATCACACAACTAAATAAAGTGTCGTAAAAATTCTTAATAGTTTAATTACATAGAATGTTAACACAACTCAATTTCGCAGAATTCAAAATCCATGATAGGGCTATGAAAATTTATGAAAAGTAAAACACACACACAAACATGGAACAATTCAAAGTAAACAATTCTTTTTTTTTTCAAAAAAAAAAATATATTATTTACTAACACAAACCTTATCAGGCCATAGAGTAAACAAATTCCATGGTGTATTATAATATATAATTATAAATTTGTATGCATGATGTATTTGTACATAATGACTGATTACAATCACCATTATTACTTATTATTCAGTTGAATTGCCAGTGTGTGCGTGTGTGATCACAAGCCCTCTCTCGCTCTCTCTCTCTCACTCATGTTTATGAAAAATAGTCAATTTGTAATAAATAAACAAACAAACATGTGTACATACACTCAAAAATGCATTCGAATTATATTGGCAAAAGTTAACACAAATGTTAACACAACACTTTACATTATTTCATAGATAAACAAATAAATAATATTTGAAAATCTGAACAAATATTATTTACACATTTTTTCTACATTATGTATGGTAAATAAATGCATTTTTTTTAACAGCTAGCTAGAATTACTAGAATAAATTCATAGAGTTGAAAAGCAGTAGTAGTAGTAGTAGTAGTTTGAGCTTTATTGTGAAAGGGATTTAGCGCAAAAAAAAACGGATCAATAAAGCTAAAAAGGAAGTAATAATAATAATAGTAAAATGTTTACTGTACTCATAAAAAACTCAACAACTACAAATATTAATAATTCAGTGTTGATAATCCATTGGAATAGAAACAAAGAAGATTGATGTGTACTCTGATCAGAGAATAAAAAGAAAAGAGCTGAACTTATTTATTTATGGTGTAATAACAAACATCGTTGCACTTTCACAGTTGATAACAATATGAAGGGATTGGAAGGTTAATTTGGAGTTTACATTAATATAACTGAGACGGAGTAGAACTGAAGTATATATATATATATTCATAAACAACCACTTATACAAGATACTACAGATCCATTAGCCAGAGATAACAAGCCATCATCTACGCTGGTAGAGAACAGAGCAACTGAAAGTTGGGGGGAGGGAAATTAGGGAAAAACACTGGAGGTATATATAGGAACCATTCTAGGGAAACTGTTCGACTGTATCATAAAACAGACTCTAACTTGGAATTCACGAAACTAAACAAAAAGAGGCAGACTAAAGAACACACAGGTTAGTAGGTAAGCAAGTAAGTAGGACTGGAACTTAAACGATTGACTAAAAAGAACAATTAATCATAGACTGGAATCTGTAACATCACTGGCATGATATATATATTGTACCAAAATGCATTATTTGGTGATGGCAAAATGATGCAATAGCACTATTGAAGATTGAAAGTCCGAGTGGTTTGAATGAAGCAGGAACAAAACCACAGAATAAAAAGACTTGCAATTAATAATGTCACAATTGAAAATCGACTACATTGACACAGACTAATGAAGTTTATGATGAATATGTAAAGGAACATAAATCAAACAGTCAGAAACTTATTTCTAATATTGAACTTGGAAGCAATAAAGTAACACAATCTGAAAAATTATTTAAACCCTGTTGAATTCTAAATAATAACGTAGAGAATACTTACTAATTTGGATAGATATGTTATTCAGAAAGATAATTTTTTTCATGGTTCAAATTATGAACAAATCTTAGCTAGAATAATATCGAAAACCAGGAATCATTGGACAGCTGTTTTGTTCTAGTACGGAAAACAGTAAGATATGTGCACGATTGTTTGCTAGTTCAGCGGTCTAGAGGTTAAGCATTTACGCGCGAGACCGAGGTTCCTTAATTCGATTCCCTGTGGTGTGATTATAGATGCTGATTGCTGATGAGTTCCACACTAGAATGAAACAGTTGCCCGCTGCTTTTCAATAATTATTTCGATAGGATTAATTCATGATTCAAACAAAGAAAGATTTCGAAACTCAAAATACTCTCATATACTGAAAATAATTTGTTTGTCAGAGAAAAACAAAAACGAAACATACTTCACCGTAGTTTTCAATTTCATCACCATGAATACGTTTGCCTTGTTGTCCATTCAAACCGAAACCTTCATTATCTGCACCATAACCGAAACCATATTGATCTGTGCCAACAATTAAGTTGCCATCATCTGTTGACCAACCGACACGCCATAGTCCAGTAGATTCAATAGGAGTAACTTCAAAGTAGAAGCGTCCAAGACCACGAATACCCTAGAGAGGATAACAGCAATAATATAACCTGATGAACAGAGAATAATAACGAAATAGTAACACACACAAATCATAAGAATGTGGAACAAGTGATAAAAAGTCATATATTTGAATTGATTGAACATGGAATGATGATTACGATTAAAATTAACTCTGGCAGGCCTAGGGATTTTGCGCGACCTCACCCATAACCAGGACGAAACGGCCGTCCAGTGAATATGATAGATTATGCATTGGGATAGTAGCAGCATGTAATCTGATAACCACAAAATAGTCAGTAGTGAATATATGGCATGCCCTGCCCAAAATAATCTTTACACATAATTATATAGACATTTATTGTACTAGATTTCATTGTGGTTAGTCACAGACTGAACAAATTGTAAGATAGAGGATAATATGTCTATATATATATTGAAATTATTCTCAGAAACCGATTACAATGTGTGCAATATTGTAAACATGAAAACATGGTTAGGTACATGACTAATACTGATATTAATAAGAAAGTTAAAAGCATGATAGAACATATATTAAGTAAATATTTTCCAATGGAATGTAATTCACCTGCGAAATTACAATTTAATGTTACGCGAAATCGAGTTATATTAACCTGTGTAAGAACTGGAATGATACCTCTAACAGCAGGTTACGGAAATCCAATGAGTTGAAATGTATAGTTTGGTAAAATTATTCTTTAGCCTAATAGCATCAGTAAACTTGATGGGGATAGAAGTAAACTGGCATTGATTACTGTGTTTTATCATAAGTGAGTTTGTTAGAAATGAACTGTTGTGTTGTCGTTTCCTTTTCGCTTAGTCATAAACAACACAGAATCTGGTGCATATGTGCATACAGTTCAAATTGACACACTATTACAATACACAGGGAGATAAATGCCAAAGATCAAATAGTAGTAACATATTAGATATAAGCAATATGATTCGAGAAGAATGAATTCGGGAAATAACTAGTGTGAATAGATAGTTTTATAACTAATAATCTAAGGGAAAGTGAAAAATAAAGACATCTGCACCATTGTGACTTATAATGAGTCCTGTCACTTAAATACTTCAACTCCTGGTCATGATAAACACTTGGATCCTAGGCAAGTAGTCCGCATATATCCGCCTAATCCATTCTAACAGTCGATGACCTCATGAATTAGTATCATGTCTTGGCTGATTTCATCTTCTTTCTCACCTACTCATTTCTAAACTTGCAAGCACACGCCCTGTGGTAGATGGTGCTTTTCAGGTTACAAAGAAGGAATGAACATGTAAAACAACAATAATCTTGTGGTTTAATGTGATCACTGTTTCGGAATTACGATTTTTTGTCAGTATAAAAGTATGAAGATTGTTGAGTTTACTGAATTAATGAACTGGAAAATGTTAGACCATTAATAGAAACCCAGAAGCTATGGACGACCGTTTCGTCCTACATCACGACTCGTCAGCATCTACACTCCAAGGGGTAGTCGACCCCAGGACATTAGGTCTCGCGCTCGAACACTCAGCCTCCTAACCAGTGAGTCATCAATCCAAAGGCGTTAATGTCTAATCTCAATTAACTCATCATACTGCGCGATCATCATCTCTTTTTTATATTTTCTAGTTGAAATTCACTATTTTTTTAACTAGGCACACCACAGATTAATAACCTGGTATAAGAATAATGCTCAATGTAGATGCACTAAATGAAGTTATGTAAAATCCATCATCAGAAAAAATTATTCATTTTTCTGCATTTTTCTGCATATAATAGTAGTATTAGTATTAGTAGTAGTAGTAATCCAATACCGACGAAATTTTTGTGAAGATAATGAAGTAATTTGTAAACTGACAAAGTGCACAGTGGAATAGCGAAAACAGAAATAAGTAATAAATCGACACAAACACACAAAGATACACAAATATTTCTCCATACGTACATTCTACTAGTGTACACCGACAAGTGATGATTAAAGGTATCATTTGGTCCCTTGAAACCTTTTTTTATCATTGGATATAGCCTGTTATTTTTCTGCTACATAGCAGTTACTATGCGCTATCATTAAGTCTTATCATATTGTACAATTAATCAAAATTTTTTTTGGTTTACAACTTAGCAGGCGAAGAACGACAAACAATGATAGAAAGGAGAAAATGAAGCTGAAATCATGATGAATTTAGGTGTTGGCTTCACCTCTCACCATCTCTCTTTCCCTCTCTTCTTCATCCATAAATTAGACCATTACTTTTCGATAAAATACTATTCATGATAATCGTTAGAAATTTACAAACGAATACCACTGCCATCATCATCATTACTCTCATCTTTATCCTTATAATCATCAAGTGTCAGCCATAATAAAAGTGTACAATCATAACACTAGTATAGAGATACACGGGACAAGAAAAATTACCATATATATATATAAATATTTTTTTTTCATTAGGAGAGAAAAGAATGTAGAAAATTAAAGGTTTTCTATTCCACAAACATATATACATGACTAATAGCGCCGAAAATAGTGAGCCAATGAATTGAAAACTAACATTGATTAAATTCCACAATTTCTACTAGTTAGGCATTAAAACATTGATTATTGAAATAGAAAAGTATGATCGCGATTATAAACAAAATACATTTCATCGTAATCCTCCTTTTACAGACAAGGGAAATGAGTTTTCTCTGATATAATTCGGATTAATAACAGATGTATTTTGTTATTGTTGAATAAAATCAAGTTTTATATTGTAAGGCGTACTAAATGTATAAGCTAAAACATCAGCCTTTAGTTTAGATTGCTAGATTGTCTTAAATAAAACTGCATTTTGGGTTATTGGATCATTGATTTCTCGTTTCTTCCTCTCTTTTCTACATTGCTTCACACTTCTACTGCAACACAATCAAAAATCTTTGAAATCTAACCTAATCTAAACATTGATCTAACCATTTGAATCAATGCTTGTTATTCGTAATCACATGTGAAATCTGTCTCATACATACTATAATTTCGCTAATTCACCAACACTAAAAACGTGATGGTAACATGGAAAGCTTTTTCCCATATATAAAAATATCGTGTATATATATCTATCCATGTTGAATTTCACAAGAAAAACCAAACATATGCGGTGTTTGATTGACAAGCAATCCAAATATAATAACATGAATAGGACTTTTTATTTTTCAATCTTTTAAACGAAGTGCACACTGATGCTAGTGGTTCACCAACCAACAGGACACTTGCTTTCAAACTCGATCATTTTAAGATAATAGTAGTGTGACGATCGTACAATATAAATGTTGAATACTGTTTCACCAATCAAGACTATAATAAACTTCAAAAAAATGTCAAAAGTGCTCTCTTGAATGTCCTAAAGCGAAACCAATAATACACAAGCACAAAATCAATTACTTACATGATTCGATCGACAACCTTGCCAACCTTGATTGAAATGTGATTGAACTTGACTACCATCCGGTGCAACATCTAAAGCATTTGTGGCATCATATTGATTCATACGCCAACCAGGATTTCGATTAGACACTTGATTATCATCAGCAGATTGAGCTACAGGAATAAACGGACCATCTGGAGGGAATTCTAATGGCTGTTCTTCACCAAAATTGAATAGGATTCGTGAATCTTTTAGACTAGCAGCTAAAATAATAAAACAAAGCGAGACCGCAATTTTGTAGAATGAATCACACAACAGCAGTGAAATACTTTCCAATTCAAGATTCAACTATGAAACGCAATCACTTCAGTCAGTCAGTAACGTGATGTAGAACCTGACACATGTGTATCGGTTCGACTTGCCATATCATATTAGCACGGAGAGATGGGATTATTTCAAGCAGTATCAGTAGTAGTAGAAAATACTAATTAGAGAAAAAGGGATTTTGGGACTGCAGTTCTACAGGAAGACAGGAGATTAAATACACATGAACCATTGAGAATGATTTGGAAACATGTATACAAAGTCTCTGATCATTCATTACCGAAATCACTCAGACTCAAACCAGGTGATCTAAACCAATTAGCATGGCTCAATCCAATTGTTAACGACTTCATAGACTGATCGCGTGTTTTGGTTTGAAAGCCCTTAGTTTTTCTCCTAACCTCCTACACCAGACATCATCGTCTGTCAAGGTACTCAGCAGATGGGCATACGTGGTACATGTCTGAATCATTTCAGTCTATAAAGATTGACGACATCGTCAACTGACTTGACATACTTCCTATCACACTGAGTTTAATTTCAGAATTACTAACTTAATGGTCTTAAAAATACGACCAATGGTTCGAAGACGCCTATGATTGAATACTTACAACCTATGAATATCTCCTATTATTAAAGATCGTGTTTTACATCCATGGAGAATAAAGGAACGAGGGTACATAGTAGTAAACTCATCCATTAGTTGTCAAAAGCGTATTCCGCTAACATCATAGGCGATGCAAGTCGACAAAGTCAACCGAGATTACTGAGTCGAGTGCATCATCACGTACTAGCCCATCAGGACTGATGAGATTTCCACGATAACTGGGACGGTCAATGCACATAAGTACTTTACTTCCTATCATTGATTCACGCACTAAGGCTAGCTAGTCCTGAAGCATTTTCCGTTACTACACTCAGATATACACTTCACATAAACCACTTTATTATTAGTTAATTAAGTCTAGGAGATATATGTTTACAAATTAAGCTACAAAGAGTAACAAACCCTAAAATCGATTACTGGTTAACAAAGTTTCGTGTTTATGTCGACAATTGATGAGAAAAAAAATTGACTTATAAACAATGAAATACGATACAATATAGAACCATAAATCTACCATAGACCAAAATCTACAAATTCAATTCAAAACCTGATGGAACTGAACTAGAACGTGTACGCTTAAAACATTGAAGCATTGAATGTCTCTATATTTTTTCGCCAATGTGACTTGATTCTTCTGAGCAAAACAAACAAACAAACAAGAAAAACAAACTTGTCAACATCGGCCGGTATAAAAATTATTCATTTCTGCCAATTGACTGCCAGTGTAAAAAAAAATATGGCGAAAATAAGTTAATAATATATTCCAGGACCAAAAAACATCATATAGTTTAGTTGGTTAACATTTAAAAGTTGCAAAAGAAAAAAAATTTATCATACATTCTGTCTCTAGTCAGGCAATAATAAATCAAGCAAAGCGGATTTAGTGATGGGAAATAAATGAAGATTAATAGTAAACAATTTAGTGTAACAATAACAACAACTACAATAACAGCAACAATAACAATAACGGAACAAGTCATACGTTGTTTTGTTTTCTTCTTTTCATTATGCCGAAAAACTGTTGGCCATAATAAAAAGAATAATAATGAATGAATGAGTGAACATAGAAGATATGTATAGTTATGTATAGATATCTATAAATATTTCTTGTGTAAGAAATGTAATGCCTATTAGGTAAATGTGATGTATGTATGGTAGTTTGAGTGAAAACAATAAACTGAATTACCTACATACAGTGGTTGTGGGCACACATTTAATGTGTTTAGTGGAACTAAGGTCGTTTACGCAAAACAAAACAACAGAAGTATGTGCATTCGGATTTGTGCCGACGACTGGTGACACAGTGTCAAAGTACCGATCATTGCCAAAGGTTAATTAAGGTTGGAATTGGAAGCTTACTGTTGTTTGAGAGAGTTGAATACTGATGTGAAGTGATAAATTTATTTCTTTTTCACAAAATGACTTACTTTTAGATACAAGAATTTGAAATAATAATGAAAAAAAAAACATGATCAGATTGTATTTTGTTTTATTCGAAGCAAAAACCGCAACGATGCTGATGTGTCCAGTCCCAGTGCTTCCAGGTTTCTACTGATGGTCTAACAATGATTTGTTTGTGATTTCAGTGATATCCGACATGTTGATTAAGTAAAATTTACCCGTAAACAATTCTCCAAACTCTATCCGCTCTTTGATATAATAGAGCCAACACTATACTATCGTGTAAATGTTTACCAACAAAAAACAAACAATGAACTCATACCTACAAACTATTAGTTTAAACATGAATTTTTTAAGACTTGGTGGATTGGATCAAGTCGCCACAACAACATATATATATATATATATATATATATATATATATATATATATATATATATACCACACAATCAGATGAAATTACCGAAAGAAATGCTTGAGTAATTAATAGCAGAAATAGGGAGAGGATTATTATTTATCATAGAAAAGATCAGGTTATAGAGAATATGATTCAAGAGGAGAGAATAAATTCACAGAACAGAGAGGAAAGCATAAATCAGGGAAGAGCGATTGCAACTGCTATTTTCAGCTTGGCTTTGCTTGTCAACATAGGGAGGGGTCAGTCGAATAATATGAATCTGTTTCATATCTTGATATACGCACTTCTAGATTTTCTTCAAACTTACTATATGATCAGGAAGTACCATGTGTCTAGGGAGAAAATGGTTGTTGTAAAAGTTCACAAAACAGAATTTTTACAGAAACGCAGTAACATAGACTTTGTCAATTAGAATGAAGCAGAAAATATACACAGCGTTTAAGGTTTTTTCAATCTCCTGTATTATATATCATACTAAACAATAAACTCCTACCGGATTCATTATTTAGTGAGGAAAATAAATAAGAGAAAATTAATTTTCTTGTAAGAAACAAACAAAACCGAAGAACTAAACGTCCGGAATAACACCACCATATTGAAGATTAAGAAGAGATATGAAGATGAAATCAATTATGTTATATCATATTCCGTGTATACAATCAATATCTTCCATGAAACATGTGAATTCAATAATCGAAATAAAGCTAAATGAACTACTGACTGGTAAATAAGATATGATTTGAACTCGTAACGTAATCATTGAATTGATGATTTACACTTCGATAAATGAAGATATGAAATCAATCTTCTTTTTTTGCACACAAAAACACACCCATAGGAAAAAACTCCACCTGGAGCCTTTCCAGGGTTTTTGCCGATTCCAAGCACGGGATAAAGGCGGAGAGTTGGGCATGGGGATTAGCAACCCCATACCATAGAAAACTAACTCGCTAAAAAAACGTCGACCAGCAAAATGCCGGTCGGCGGCCTATGCATGTAAGTAGAAACACCTACAGAATATATAGTAGCAATTAAATAATATGAGTACTACTGAAGGGATAATACTAATTGATGATGGATAGTCTGTTAGTAATTCATCTCAACAAACAAAAATAAGGAAAGTAAAATTACAAATTAGTTATCATGAAGGAAATGAACATTAAGTCAGAACAGAAAATGTATCCACTCTTCATACAGTTTTTTTCTTATTCAAATCAAATGTTTATAATAAAAAAAATTACCTGGCAAGAAAGCTTCTCCCCTTAATTGATCGGGTATAGTGAATGCACGTTGAAATACTTTTCCATTACATGACCAAGATACAGATCCTTTGTCTAGATCTAATAGGCAACCAATGACATCACCTTGATGAACTGTTATTCCATAATCATGACCAGTATTACGATGCATTACACGTCCAGTTCCATTTAAACCAACAGCGCCTACAGCATCGGATCCATAACCAAAGCCATAATTATCTGCGCCAAGTTCTAAGTCGGCATCATTAGTCGACCAACCGACACGTATAAGTCCTTCCTCTAAACAAGCCGCTTCATAATAATATGCACCTGGAGCTTTGACACCTTTATTAGCTCTACAACCCTGAAAGATAGACAGAAATGCAGTATGAGATAAGACACTGTGTAGACAGAAAATTAATTCACTGAAAGGTCATTTTTAAACCAGATAACGTTTACATTATCATAATCAATGTATGAAGCAGGTGAAAGTGTCAAAAATGAGAAGCACACATAAGTTGGAGTAACATATATGAAAGTAGCTTATTTGAAATGTTAGACTGTATATTTCACCTAATAATATGATATATATTTTAACTGAAATTACAATTTTTACAATAAATATTAAAATTCAATCTATGGGTATCACAACAATTTATACAGTAAGTCATGATTAGTCTTAGAATATAAAATGAAAGTACTAAAATAAAAACATTACTAATTGACCTCAACTTTTATAAATGAGCAGCGATGACTCAGTCACTAACCTAGGCGAAACATGGATATGAGCTTTAGAATACCATAGAATATAACATATATACACTAAACAGATAGTACGTTTTTTAGTGAAAAGGGTGGGGCGCATAACCACATTGAACGCCCATAGTATTATTAAACAGAAGAGAGGAAATGAAAACACTAGATTGATATGATTATCTTTTATTAATCCCCCTCTCATTAATCTACAGGAATACTGCAATAGTCTAGTTAGTCATGAAATGATGTACGATTAACTAAGAATATTAAATGTTGATCTTCATCAACCAACTGACCTGAAATACAATTTCTCAATATGTAGTGAAAGCAAGTAGACAATGCTTCATTTATAACATTATGATAAATCTTAATTAATAACTGATAACTGATTAATGTTTTAATTGTTATGGGAATTTAACAGTGTCAGAAATTGGACAATAAAAAAGTGAGATAGGTGGAACTTGAAGAATCATTCTCTAGCGTATTTGTTAAAATATGTGATTTATAGTAGTAATTTTATACTGGCTTAATTGTAGAATTCTATTTAATGAATATGCTGCTAAATATGTCCATTTCACGAATACAAATAATTAATTTGTGCACTAGTTATCTTGTTCCACACACTAAATGACCTTGTTTTGTACAGATGGTACTGTCTTAGTCATGCTGCATTATCGTGTCCTCTATTTGGTGCATATGATCATGTGAGCTGTTGAGTCATACATACCACATGATGAACTGATAGGTTGGTTATGCTGGTGTTCTGACTTAATCGAATAAAAATATAAGAAGAATATGGATGAGCCAATTTGTGTTACTGTGTTATGAGAACAACTGGTACAGGAACAAGTCAAGTTCAGATGGAAATACAGATTGCTTATGAAAAAATCTATTTATCTACATCTGTAGTGTATTCTTCCGAACCAAGTTGGTTATAATCTGATCGCCTTTGCTCCTCTTCTGGTTTGCAAAGCGTTTCAAACACGCCCAGCTACTTGACCTCTTAAAACTTCTGTCTTCAGCTAACCACTGTAGCGCGACTTCCATGGGACGCTCAGCTGCAAACTACTAATAGTCAATTATGTGTGTAGCGTACACCACACTAGTGTATTAGCACAAACATATGCATCATTAGTGACTTTCATAGCAAAAAGATTAGAAGCAAGGATTAATTCAGTTTTTGGGTCAAGGAGTGTGCGAAATTTTCGTCACAGTTTCAAGTGTACTATTAAAAGTAGCGAAAATCACTACACTTTTGTATTATAGTTTCATTTCTAATAAAATCAAATTGTAGTTGAAAACACCTAGATGTTGTGTCAATATTGAGCGTGTATGATATGTGTTGATGAAACAACAGTAAATTATATAAATGAACGATATTAACCGGATTGTAGAAGGATGAATAATTAGTCGATAGTATAATTAAATTTAGTGAACATACAATTTCTTGCTTTGATAACAGCACTAAGAAATGAACAGGTTTTTTTGATAAAATATGTGAAAAAGAGAGTGTGAGACCGGAAAGAAACAGTATTAAAATAAGTGTGCAGCATATTCGATTACTTACTTGCCATCCAGCTCCACGTGTAGATGCAACATCTAAGCCTCGAGAATCGATTCCTAAACCTGCTGTACAATCAGCTCCAGTGATACGCCAATGTTCCGGTTCAAATGATATTCTAGTAATCACTGTGAGCATACCGTTGACATGATCGTTATTATGACCATTCATCATGCCAGGAGCAGTATTATTGCCTGGTTGATAATAACGTTGAACACCTTGAGCAGTTGGTATAGGCTGTCCATTGACTATATTTTGATTACAGAAATAAGTTGGATCCATACATGCCGGATCACCACTAACCATAGCTGGTTGATATTGATATTGACTAGCTACTGCACCATTCATATGATCCACTAAAGGTTAACAAACAAACAAAAAACTGGTTACGATTGACTATTATTAAAAGACACATTGCTTGCTTATAAAGTTGAGAAACAATTAGCCCGTAGTTGCTTATTTCTGACTAAAACTGTTGTAGTTGTTGAATATTAGAAAGGGAGAGAGTATTTACGTTTAAAATTAGTTAGAAAATCTAAAAATAAGATGATAAATAACTAATATGAGTAGGCTTCGATATTTATTTATCGATTAAAATACAGTAGCGATGTGCAGTATGAAAGAGGAATTGAGATTATACAACAAAATGCATTATGATTAATAATTACTATATATAGATGAAGGAATTCCGAATGACAGCCAGTGACTAATGGTACTTAAAAATGTCGAAAGTGAAACCAATATATTCGATTGCATTGGATGACTTCCGTACATGAAAGTTTGGTTCGTACTACTGGATATTGATTCGAATGGTTCAGATGCGATACCTACTTGTATACTTAGCGTCTATTGATGAGAAGTCTCACACTGAGACAAACAATAATGCAGTGCTTCTTGTTACACCTACAATACACTTCAACTAAGAACAATCTGTAACGATTCCAATATGACAAAAAATAATCACTACTATTTTTTTTGTATTTCATCAAGAACATGATGAAAAACAATGATGACAAGTGAACCGAATTTTTTAAGATGTAGTGCAGTTTTGCTACATTTACACTATTTGAATATAAATATATACAAATGTATGAAATAGATCTGCATAACAAATTTCAAGATGATTTTATCGGTTTGTAGCGATGGGATTCACTTGCCTCCCTTTAAGTTCTCATTTAATAGCCCAAACTGGACAAGTAGTAGTATCCCATATGCCTTAAAGTCAAATAGACCAATTTATATTTTCCTAAGAGGAAATTAACATTGATTTTTATTATTTTCCAGGAAAGAATATTTATTCACACAGTAAAAAAATAGTACACACGATTAGTAAGTGGGATAGAAGACAGTAAAATCCAAAGTGAGAACTGATAAAAACAGATAGACATAACAAAATGTCGACACTTAAAACAACAACAACAACAGCGACAACAACAATAATAAAAACAAACTACACTTAAGAGGAATGTGTTGAAGAGAGAGAGAGAGAGAAAGAGATGAAAAACAAAATAAACCTATATTAATTTTTAATGTAACAAAAATTGTTCATGAAAACTGTGCTTTTTATCCTCTTTCCCCTATGGGAATGCTGCATACATACATACACATAAGGAAAAATTCATTCTTATTATGAATGAATTGAAATAATCAAAGAAATGGTAGTAGTAGTAGTAGTAGTAGTAAGAGAAAGGAGAACGACAGATATTCAACATGTTCTACTTTTTTTTCATTAAGTATAAAAGAAAATAATTTCTTTTATTTAATATGTAACACAGTAGTAGTACAGTGTTAGAATGAGGTTGAAATAACCGCGATCAGTTTTCCAATTGGTTTTTAGAGCCAATCACAAAACAGCTAATGTAAAACGCAAAGTTCATGGAAAAGAAAGTATTAACAACAAATTTTATATTAAAGCCTACTGTGAATTAACACAAAATATGTAAATTCGTCCTCAACAAACACACATGGTTTATCAGACGTTTTGATCTTTTATGATTTTTCTCAAATGCTTACAATTTTCTTGATCAGATTTCGGTATTTAAACGTTGGATTGTAGGCTTTTTTTTCTTTAATGATAATAACAGTAGTTTCATTTATCATAATTTATATAGTAAAATATTAAATTTTTTTTAAGCAAACGATTAGTATGAAGGAAATCTGGGGTTTTCAGTTAACAGAGACAGAATTGAGTATTTGCTAAATTTAACGTCATGATGATGAAAAGTGATTTTCTTCAATTATCGTTTTTAGCATATTTTGGGCAGCGATTTCTACTGTTCGTTTGATTACTCAGAGTGAGAAAAAAAATATCATGAGTTTATGGAATAAAATCAGGACGACAAGATTGCATAGCGTTCAATGAAATCAAATCTAAAATTAATTCAACTTTTACAGGCTGAGAAAACAACCTAACCGAATTAATAAATGTACTTGAAACCACTTAAATGGCCAAATCAAATTATTTGAACATGGAATTGGTTATTAAATCTGAATGAAGCTGTTAAAAAAATGGTAACGAACTGCGTAGATAAGTGATGAAAGTTAAAGGGAATTATTATCTGAATAGAAGGAAAATGTAATAATAGATATTCTCTGTATGAAAATAAGCGGTGGAGTATGGTGGACGAAGATGAAAGTAGGTGGTGACAATGCAGTTATCACTCATGGAGTCCTATTCATTACATCATCGTACACATGGAATGCATAATCAGTTACAATAACAAACTGCAAAAACATTATACTTCCCAATTAAATTATTCAAAGTTATAATAAAAACAATTAGTTAAGAGGTTAATAAAACAAAATCTAAAAGAAGAACACGTCGAAGTCGTTGTCGCCGTCGTCGTAGTAGTTGGTTTAAAACGCCTGAATATTATTACAGAACACTTTTCATCTATAAGAGATAGAAATCAATAACTGTACTTCAAAATAAAAACCAACTCACTTCATAACGAGTAAGCGCTAATGTGCTAAACTATGTGATGTTGTAGCCAAGGTAACTTGGATTCTTACACCAATTACTACTAGCGTACTTTGGCAAATCATCAACATAGCATACAATAATCAAATAAATAATTGAGGACATTAAAAATATGACCTTAATCAGATTATACAAACGATCGCTTTCTTTTCCTTTCTCTATCTGGCAATGACATGGCGATGTGGATAATCGGTTATTATGAGTTGATCAATTGGCTGATTAATTTTTTTTTCCAATTGATAAACGATAAAGAGGATTATGATGAATACGAAATAAAATCGAACAGATTACAGCTGAGAAAAATCATTCAACTAGTATAATGTGTATGATGACGATAAAATTTATGTAGTAACTTAGAAAGTTGGTTAGAAAGAAACCAAAATGAACAGTTATATTGTAGTGAACGAGAACACAGGTGGGGCAACCGAATTGTATTTAGCGAAATTACAGAGTTACTCAGTAAAATAGGAAAACCATATCGTAAATCGTTAATTTGCAAAATATCAGTTCATCATAGCGAACTGGACTGTTCCTGTTGCAAAAAATCAATCCAATCTCACTGTTCATGCGTTTCATACAGATTCCATTGTTTTCTAACTCTTCCTTTCTTGATCTTCCCCCATCTTCTGCTGCCAGACATTACGTTTACACTCACGTCATATACTACTTATAAGTAGCTCACACCACAATATACTAATATATATATATATATATATATATATATATATATATATATATATATATATAATGATGCGTAAAATAACAGTCGTAACTTACTTTCATTACGGTTGGCAATTGTAAACCATCCTATATGAGAGAAAAAAAGGTAACGAATTGAAAGTAGTATTTGCTAAGCATAGAAATGAAATGAATCAAATCCACTGTAAGAATAATATGGAGTCGTACTAATAATGATGCGAACATTATGGTTGCTACTTGAGCTCAAAAATAGATCAATGAATAATATCAGATTGACGTTTTAATTGAGTCAGTCAGCTAAAACGTAGAATTCGGTATGTACGGATATCAGTTCAAGCTGCCCATATCACGTTAACAGAGAGAGAGTGTGTGTTAGAATTGTGAATTCAAATCCCACAGTAGTGGAAGTTGTAACAGTATTAGCGTTAATCAAAAAAAGATTCAACTAAAAGCTACTAGATTCAAGTTCATATATAGAACATGAACATCGCTTTGCATTTTGTAAACTACAGACCAATGGGGATAAAGCATTCGATAAGCACAGAGATAGATAGATGTGAATCATCTATCACGGTATAGATCAGTGTACTCGACTTTGAATTTAACTTTCTGTATTACGGCTAGTAATACTACCTAGCTGCCAAAACCGAAACTAGAACCCATGACTCTTAAGTTGAAAGTACGAGAAAATAGCCATTAAGCCACTGCACCAAACTGACTCAATGCAAGTCTGAACCTCAAATCACCTTCTATTCAGTCAATCGACTAGTGTTTGTAACCATCAAACATGCAAATATGTGACTAGTTAGAAACAGACTACAAAAATCGATACATAATGAATGAGTTAAAATCGACACAGTATAGTATAAGAACAACAAACAAAATACATCTATTATTCTTACCAGTCTCTGAAGGATGAGCAGGCATTGGACGAAATTTAGATAAAGGTCGAGATCCTTGATTATGCCCACCGACAACAGCAGCAACATCGGTCGATGAATTCAAAGTTGTGCCAGGATAATGATATTTACGAGTGGCGAATGAAGGAAATAGACTTGGTTTTTTCGGTCTGGACGATCCACGAAGTCTATATATACATATAATAAGTCACGATAAAAATAACAACAATAATAATTAGGAGAATAGGATGAAACAATATTGCGTTGACAGACAACAATACATAGACGAAATAGTGACCATTTTCTATCCGTAAATAAAACCAATGGGTGGTTACCGAATTATTAACACACGAACGACGAATTAAATATATACAGTTACAAAATAATTAACTTCATCGTTTCTACTTTTCAATTGTTCATCAAATGACATTAGTTTATGATAAAAATCTTTTGGAAAGCCAAAAACCAGCAAATTAATGACTAGTAATAGTAATAATAGTAATAACGGTAGCTTTGAGTGTATTAGTTATGAGATTTGAGATAAATTTTCCAAAGATCTCTTGCCGACTCAAAGTCAATCAAGGCGAAAAAATGTCACGCTAACCAATTACAAAGGAATAAAAGTCACACAATATATCATGAATTGGTTGAAACAGGAAGAGAAACTACCAAGTACTAGAAACTCTGACCTAGTAGTTGAAAGTTGAACGCCTTAATGGCTATCAGCGATTTAGATCGCAAATGCAAAACTTTATTTGACTTTTCACTAACCGTCTCACACTACTTGTGATGAACATTCCCCGTTTTTTTGCTATGAGGCACAATGGTGTGATATTGATCAATTGGTTAGTTTTTACTTCTTAAGAATAAGCTACGTATCATCCAAGGCGTTTGCATTCGGACCGTACAGAACTCATCTATTTATTATTTATTTTATTTCGCCTTGTTTACTTTAACTGTTTGACTCAAGGTCAAGTTTTTTAATCTCATGAAGTTTGAAGGACTAACTGATAGGAAACAGTATGATAATTGTTTTGTTTTTTGTTTGGAATAAATATGGATTTCATTTTTTTTTATCTATGACCTAAATGTCATAGCGCTTCATTTTGTTGGCTTAGATATTTTCACACGTCTTTTGAATATATAGAGCAAACGTTCACTACAAAAAAATTAACTTTAAGATTAAAGGACTGAAAACATGTACAACATCATTGTTACAGTGATCGAATTTTCGCGTCCACTTTAAACTGACTAGTAAGTTGAATGCTATGTATATTATGAGTAATTAAGATAGATAGATAGATAGATAAGCGTTGAACCGATAAAAAGAATTTTTTTGAACAGTTTAAAATCAATGACTAAGCTGACAAGAGCAGTACAACTAATCAATGTGAATGACACATAACATTGATAAGTAATTTTTGCGTTCAATAGAGTAAGTTTATGTAATGTAGTACTAGTAGTTAATCGAAGCATTGTCAGAAGCAAAAACAGAACAGCAACACTAATGTTAATACTAATTCAAGATATTTAACATTTCGGAATTTTGAGAGTTGAAGCATGAGAAAAAAACAAGGAAGTATCTATGCGTATGAGTGTAGATAAATTATATATATATATGTATATATATATATATATATATATATATACATATATATATATATATATTGTATATAAAAAAAGAATCTTTGTTCAACAATACAATGAATGGTTTTACCTGAAGAAATTATGATGATCCACACAAACATTATATAATCGTTTAGCTAGTGTAGGACTGATACATTTGAACGTCATATTACGATCTAATGAATCATCACCAGGTCGTCGTGAAATGGTGAAATTACGTCCACGATGTGATAGACTTATAATACGTGGCCAACTAATTCGCATTAAACGAATACGATTACGATATAATAGGATACCGCCATAGTAGATGCCAAGAGTAACATCTTGACCTTGAGAAGTCTGTAAAGCAACAACAACAAAAAGGACATTGAATAAAGAAAGCATGAAAATGTTACGATATTTCATTCTAGTAAAATTGTTGGATAACTGTCTGTGAACAATGAATAAGATAAACAGAGCAAAATTAACACCATTAAAGTTGGAGAGTAAATACAATTACGTATATATTGGTAAATTCACAGCAGAGAACATATGCAAATCACCCTATAAAATTTACATCAAAACTCACTGCGTCGCAACCAGAAGTCAGTCAGTTACAACCTAGAACTTCGTAAGTAGGTACATCAATTCAGGGTGCCATAGCACATTAGCACAGAGACATAATTGTCAATGCAAATCTCATAGTAGTAGAGGTAGTGGAAGTACTAGCAGTAACCGGAGAGATTAGGGTTCGAAAATATTATTCAAGAAGTATAATCCAGTTTAAAAAGAGAAAGATAGAGGTGATGACGAATTTAGAAGGTTAGGATTAGAGAGCATAAAGAATGGATGTACCATCGCTATTGCAAACGGTTTTGAGCCATGTCATTCAGGGTCTCTTCTAATCATCGATTACTATCATCTTGTGGACGCCGACCAGGTAGTCGACACCTACTAACATGGCAACCAAAAGTTTCAAAAGAACTTAAATAAACGTCAACTGTACGAGAATACGCTCCATGCTTTTATTTTCATTCACAATAAACAGCATAGTATGAATCGTTAGATTAAGCAGAGAGAGAGGGAGAGAGAACTGACATGATATATTTACAATCATCTGGTATTAAAGACCGACTTCGATTCGACAGTTTTGAATATGGCCGGGTAAAAGCATCGATTCCATAGAGGTTTAGTGTACACTAAATAAAAACGAGTTCAAGGCAATAAAATGCTGGGAAACGGAATGAGTTTATTTCATTTTAATTGATAAGCTAAAAATGTGCTTAATTCTTTAAAGATGGATTATGAACTGATGAAATACCATCATTATAGTTAGTTTAACAGCGCTTTTTTATGAAATAAAAACAAATGTATCTGAAAGCGCGAAAAAAAACAACACATTTTTTTTTAGTGGCATTAAACGAACGACCAGAAAAAACAAATTACTTAGAAAAAAAAATAGGACAGTTCCAATGTGCAAAAACATATATATATGAACAGTTGATAACTATTATCATCTTACTGGTAAACACAATCATCTTAAAAATGGAAATCTCTACATATTCACAAATATGAATTCGTTTATTTACTGTAAACAATATGCAATACACAATGAAAATGAATGCAAGTTGAAAACATATGTCTTGTAGACAGTTACAAACAAGAAAAAGTAAAAGCCACATAAGTGATAGTAGAGAATTGGCTAGAATTTCATAGAGTGAAAAATATAATGGCAATGTGACGTATAAATAACACGAAAATATTCAAACCATCTGTCCAATATGTGATAAACGAGCTAATCGATTCAATGTATGAGTGTTTATTACTAGCATTATTATCATGCCGACTAAAGAAATAACTAAGAACGAATTAAAAAAAGTGGATTTTATCTATTGAAGTAGTAGTTGTCCGTGAAGTTTCACAAACAAAATCAGTAACAAGAAAGATAGGATCAGTGACATATAATGAAGGTGTGAGTAATGTTAATAACATAGATTAGGTCAATAAAGTCACATTAGTTGTGACGTGGGTATACGAATATCCAACAATTTTATGGGGAGGGGTAATCCCATTATATGGGAATACAAGCAAGACTATGCGATGACCCACACACTATGAGTCGTCAAAAAGGTGAGGTGTCATATCAGAGCGACTATTGAAAGAATGTTAACTTTTAGAACTGATTTGTGGACAATTATTATTAGTATTATAATATATTCTTATTGTATAATTACTGGGTAAGCTATTGTTTGATTCATTAATTATTGTTATACGATTTATTATTACTACCTCGTTGCCAGTCTCTTATTCACGGCTAACTTTTAGCTTGTTCACGTATAACTGTTCAGTCAGTCAATATAGAACTCTGTACGTACGTACGTACGTACATAAGTTCAGGTTGCCATACCACATTAGTACAGAGAAAGATAGAGATGAGGAGGAATTCCGAAGATTAATATATACATTGCATCTCCCCGTTAATTTAGTGTATCGGTGTGTTGTGCAGTAGACTTCATTTTAAGATGGTGGAGAAAACTTGTAGCTCAGGTGGATGATTGTGGTGGTGTTTTGTTCTCTGAGCTGGTTGTTTTGGTTGTGGAGCTTTCAATGTTCTTCTGAACAACACTGAAAGCTCCACAACCAAAAAAACCAGCTCAGAGAACAAAACACCACCACAGACTTCATTTTAATCATCTAAAACTATCTACACGATAACGATATATCGCATTACAACTAGACAGATGAAAAAAAAGGTGAAAGTTACAGCTTGAACCGAAAACCTCAGTGAAAACAATGCTCTTATATATAACAATGTTCATTCATTAAATAGATCCAAAAAAACACAAATACTGCACACAATGAAAAGTGAAACGTAGATAAGCTACGGATAGGCTATGGACATGTATTGAACACTTCTATTTAATTGCTTGTTGTTTGAAAAAAAAAATTAATCATACAAACTACCACAAGTCGACAAATTTTAGTTAAATTAATTGATATGAATTTGTTGGCTGCAAGTCAATCATTAGTTTTGTTAAATTTAGGCGTTCTACCACCTTCCCCTCCCCCGCATTCAGCAATCATACTATTATTTAATCATAATAATGATAAAAATAATCAGTAATTACATTTATACCTATCTCTCTGTCTGATATAGTGTAAAGTATGAAAAAGATTAAGCATAATAATAAGTTCAAACGGATATTTACAGACTAAATGTAAAATGGACACACAATATATGCATGTTAGGTTACAACACCGCACAAACTTAATGCCTTAAAAACCCTACAAATGAGGACAATTATATTAATAAATGATAAATAAACAAGTAAAAAAAAATGATTAATAAGAATAAAGTTTAATAAGCTAGTGAATGTATGAAAAAAAAAAAAAACAATAAGACGACAAGAACAGTTTCAGAAAGTAATCAATGATTTTCAACTTCGATAACCAAAAAAAAAGAACGACAGACGGACATACTTATTACAGACGTAAACACTAGCAAACACATGCAAAGTCGATATGTGTCATATATATCTATATGCTTGTGGTAAATTTAAAGATATGCGTGATAGAGTTATAATGGAATCAGAATTGAGACCAATTTCAAGTCCAGTCAAATAAATTCAAAATATAAGCATAAATGCATAAACCAACAATGCGTGGATAATATTACTAATTTACTTGGAAATTGGTAGACTTTTCAGTCAATCAATCTATCTATCTATCTATCCGTCTATTTATTGATCAATTTATTGGCTTTGAGTAGTAGTAAAACAACTTTCTGTTTTTGTATATTTTATTTATGTAATGCATTCAAGACAAATAATGACTCATGATATATTAGCTTTCCATAAATTTACGTTATCACATAAATCAATAATTTTTATGAAATGATGGAGTTTCATTGATTCCTAAGCAATTGATCGCAGATTTCTGTTGAAATAAGACGGCAATATGGGACAAACGAAGTAGCCAGTCAAATAATTAGATGAACGGGGTTAGTGTAGCTCAATACTATCATTAATAATTGAGTCACAACTCCAGATGATATGGTCTGAGATAGGAATTATGTGAAATGACGTAGTTGAAGACCAAGCTTCGAAGTGTATTTAACGAAATTCAAAGCTAGAAGTAGTGCGAAGGTCACGCTCACCTGAATCGTAAGACAGCACAAATTTTCTTGTCAATTTCAAATTATTAAAACTGTACGCAATTGTTAACTATTATTTAAGTATAGCTAAAAAGGAAGTAACATATGAAATCAAACTATTCTTTTGCATATTCCCGCCCTACCGGCAAAGTATCAGATAAAAGGCAGGTACATACATTAGTGATTAGTTATTAAGTTAAACGACCGCCATTCAGTTTAGTTCGTAAAAAAATTTCGCACCGATTTCGAAAGTCCTATCAACTAAGTTATTGAGTTATGTGGGGCAGACAAACATTTGCGCAATCGGAGATTGGTAACTGAATAAAATTGGTCGATAGGGTTTCGTAAGTCGTAAATATGCACCCATAAAAAATAACAGATAGCCACAGTTGAAATTTATCCAAAAAAGAATCAAATATTTCTTAACTATTCCTTGAGAGTCCATGCTTTTCACTGTATTGAGATTAAAGGCGAATGTTATATTTTCGACAACAGATTTGTTGGCATTAAGTATACTGCTTATCTCGATGAACAGTGCTTCATAGTATAGTAGTATGTTGTAAAGAAGCGACAAGTGACTAATCGATACACTTCGCCTTTCTTTTGATATTCTGTTTATTTGCAAAAAATCTAATTCCTAAGTGCGTCCTTTCTTTACGAACAATATTATTATTGTTTTATACTACTGCCATCGATAATGTTACTAATTCTATTACTACTCTTGTTAATCTCATCTAATTGTGTGCCGACTTGGACCTATGCAAATATATCATGTTCTACATTGTTGATGATTAGCTTTGTTACGCTTCCTTTTTTGAAAGTAAATACTGATAACATCAAACTGAGGAAGGTTCTAACTGATCACTCGGAGGTTCAAATGTAAAGAAAGAGTTCAACTAAGCAATCACCTACAGCAATCAGCTGGAGCAGTGAATAATAAAGTTACGATTTATTACATACTGAGAATATTTATACACAAGTTCTTTACAATTTAATTGATGGAATATGTTGACAAACCACTGATTTACCAGTGATTAACACAAATGAAATCGCAATTATTATTATGGAACAATAGATCAAGTGTAATAGCATACAGTTTTCAATCGATAGGTCACAGGTTCATTTACTTCAATCTTATATTGCATTGCTAGTCTTCATCACATATTTAAAATCAAGAAGACTAATCTCTATTTGGTAAACGTATTACATTGTTATTATCATTATAATTAATATTACTGTATAGAAACTAAGAAACGCACGAAAGGTTTGTGGATAACTTTTAGCTATATTCAAATGACAGACGCTAATTATCCCATAAATGAAACTGATTAAGCAAATAAAACATCGAAAAACTTCATATTAAACAGAAAGCAGTGACTGACAAGATTTTCATGATAACATCTAATTAGTACGAGAAAAATCGGAAACGGGTCATTGGAAAGAGGCCACTACCGATGCGATATGAGATGAGTAAAACACTTTCATAAAATATATATCAGTCGGCGCTATCGTGATGTATTATCTGTGCTAAAAATTATTCTGTAAAATAAGCTTTAAGCTCAAGCTAACACATACTTAATGTCGAGTGTGAGGAAGTTAACCACCGAAGATAATGGAAGAAGCTTAAACAATATCGTGAATTACTTGAAGCTAACCTAGTACATGACTGGCTTGCAGCTCTACGGTATAAAGGTTAAGCGTTCTAGCATGAGACAGTAGGTCTTGACTCTAATCTTTAGTTGCGGGGTCATGACGGTCTTCAATGATGATTTAACTTAGAATGGCTCATAGTTTCAATAAACATATTACCAATATACAACAGAAAAAACAAAACACAACATGAAGCATTGAATGAAATGAAAAAGTACACACACACACACATAAAAGCATATTTAAAACGACTCACCTTAACTTTATGCAAATCAACACCATACAATGCCAATCTACGAGCATTATTTAAAAATAAACGATCAGCCTCTTCAGGTGTTTTACCACTACAAAGAGAGAGCGAGAGAGAGAAAAGAGTAGAAAAATAACAATAGTAACATGAAAAGTAAGTAGCATAATTTTATAATAAATAAGAAAAAAAACTTTAAGGAAAAACATTGTAATTTGAGTTTGCATATCATTTACATAATATATCTATCTATCTATCTATTTATAATTGATGCATAAGACGATTTGTTGGACAATGAGAATTAGGCAATTTTCAAGTATTAAACCAGAAAAGATTCCGGTGATCTAATGATCAAGTTTCGTTGAACTAGACACACAGACACACACACGCACACTATTATGCAAAATAACAAACTGAATATGACTGAACATAATGTGCGCAACAGCAGTAAATACTAGTAGTAATTGATAAGGATAGTTAGTGAACCAGTAAAAAAAGAATTCAACTGGATAAATTAGTTTAGAAACTAAAGAATTTTACACAACAACATGTGATTTCTTCGTGTATGATTAATAATTGCGTTTTACAGAGAACCATTTCAATCGATCTAACAACTAAAATACCTGTGATAACCAAATAAACGACCAGGCAGTTTATGATAACTTAATGTTCCATTAGGTTATACATGTAAAATGACGCCGATGTTTGTGTATAAAAAGTACATTTGTCAGTAAGAGTAATAAGAGAGAGAGAGAGCAAAGTTATGGGTACAACTGAGTTTAACAACAATCAAAAAACAACATTGCATCATCTGTAATTACTGAGAATATGTTAAACATGATTATATTGAATGGAACATTCAATGTTTAACAAACATTTGTTGTGTGTACATAGTCAACTGATGTCATTAAACAGTTGGGCTACATGACCACTGAACCATAATTCTAACGCAAACTCAATTTTAACTGATGAAAGCCAGCAGATGTTAGCATTTAATAAATATTACAAACATATATCTTTGTTACAAGCATTAAATTAGTACATAAAGATTTAGGGTAGTGGTCAAAGTGGATATTACACTGGCCTAGTGACCGCTATTCAGCATACTGGAGAACGCGCCCAATCTATTTCAATACGGACAGTTGAATGGTATCCGTTCACCAAGTATTTGGCTACGAATCATATACTGTAAATCATAGAGCTGGTACCTAGTTGCCAAAATCGATGTAGCTGGGGCGAGGTTAGAACCTAGAACTTCGAATGGCCAAAAGTCAAATATCACTAAACAACTAGGCCACCGCATCATTAAATCATCGAAACAACCGTAACAGCTCAACAACAATGAAAGTATTGGAATTTTGTGATTACATTCACATCAAATGAAAACGTTTTGATTAGTACACATTAATTTAGTAAATAATACAATGTCTACTTTTTACTGATTGATACATAAAAATAGGCATGCAAAACTTGAAATTCTAACTATATATGCCATCATTATTATTAACGAATAATTGTTATAGCTATAAAATTGAAGGAGAAAAAATAAACACACGATAGAAATTTGAAGAAAGAATGAATGTATCAGTAAAAGAACAATTACACTTGTTATAATGTTGTATAGTGGATCACAAAAAACTTTACAAGAAATGATGGACAAAAGTAATGAAGTGAAGATTTTTACAAGTTTACTGGTTTGCTTTCCTCTCTTTTCCTCTAACATGGTGTAATAGAGTAAGTAAAATTAACAGAAAAAAAAAACTCATAAGTGAACACACACAGTTGGATAAGGAACGGTAATTAAGTTTTATAATTCTAGACTTTTTTTTCATGTTTTTTTTTGGTTTTCACATGGAAAACCGAATACAACACATGTATCACATAAATTTTGGTCAACTATATCGAAAGCAGATGATAAGGAAGATGAAGAATATAGGAGGAAAAAATTCTAATGTGTAATGACTGGTAAAAAAATTTGATTTATCAAGCTTGATATGAGCTATCAAAAAAAAACCCAGCAATATTTGCTACTAATATGGGGCTCTCTACAATGATTGTTACTTGCTGAGGCGTATCGCAATGGAATGTGAGATTGCTTTGTTGATGCAAAAAATATTATCGCTTAGTAACATCATAAACTAGTACATAAAAATTGACCGATATTCATTACAGGGAATAAATAATCCAGGTATTAGGTAACGATAGTAGTCGTTTCTTTTTCAACCCTATATATCACATATAATAACATTTTTTTGATTATCTAAAATCAAATTTTCATTTTTCAATCAATACGTAAACAAATTATGAGTGAGTTGTCATCAGGTAACATATTAAATGGTTTTAAGGACTTGAATTAACTAATTGAAGGTTATGATGCTGTACAGTAAGCCAAACCGAAGTGGACGGTGCCACGATCGAACCGGGAACCTAGAGGGGTATGTTGAGAGGCATACCTACTATGCCGTCATGTTAGACAATTCGGGAATCAAGTAGCGGGAAAATACAAATGATGTCAATCTTAATTGGCACACTATACATGAGGAATATAATTTGCCCAATTAATTAATTCAATACAGACAAAATAGACCGTTATTGACGATAATTAGCAAAAACTCTATTCATTAAAATTTTTAATGATTAATTTTAAATGAAAAGAAAATTGACTGACAGGATAATTAGACAGAGATAGCAGGAAAGTTTATTCTAATGCATTGTGCAGAAGATAAATAGGTATATCTACGACGAACAATTCACACACAAATCCCCAGGTGTACTGGTATGGCTGAGAGTGAGGACAGTTCGCTGTTCCTCTCGAAGTGTTATTGAAGGTCCATGCGTATATAGCCACTGTCAAGTCAGTTTTATTCACTACTGTCTAGCGCATGGAATGTTTTTAACAAGATTGAGGGGACGAAAAGCGAATTTCCAACTTATAAGGAAATATAGACCTAGTTTACATTACATAATGACCTTATAATTAAATGACCATTAGACGATATTTTAGTGGTGTAAATACTAAGCGCTCGCCATGACACTTGATGGCAGTAGATTGAACCCCTGGTACGGTTGTGGATGCATACTGCTTACGGGTGCCAAACCAGGGGGTAACGACTGTCCAATGCCGGTGAATTTTTTAATAGTTATTTAATTGAGTTCAATCTGTGAAGTAAACCATAAAATTCAATAGTCTTCACAAACAACCTTTCATATTGACAAAATATACATGACTTACCGATGAAGTTTGTGCAATTCAACAATTCGTCCTAACATTTCAGCTGTTTGAAGCATATGAGGAGCGAATGGGTGATCTTGTATATATTTTATACCAATATGTTGGGATGGATCATGATCACCAGCTTCTGACTGAACTATATACGATCCAAGAATGCAATAAGTTACAAATGAACATGGAAGCCTAAATATAAGAAATACGTAAATAAGTTTTCGTTATTGGTACACATTTTAAGTATAATTTGGAAACAAAATAAATTCATCATCTTGGGAATATAAGAGAGAAAACTCCGTTGGACAAACTACTAAACGACGAGTTTATAAAAAACATGATACTTTCTGAAAGAGTAAGATATCAAACTAACTAAATCAACTCATTTATCAGGTACTTAACTGTGGGCCATAACATTCTAAATGTGAAGGTTACCAATACTACCCGGTTGCCCAAAACAAAGTAGGTGGAGTAGGGTTTGAACTGGAAAATAATTGACTGAAAATTGAACCACTACACAATTAATTTATCACGCTACTATGCTGCTGACATAACTAATTGGACAAACAAACAAAGAAGACCACCCAGCGATGCTTTTCGATGACCCAACAAGAGATTGAACCCAACACTTCAGATTATTGAGCCACGATCCAGTGATCAATCTACAGATCAATCACGAGTATGAACCGCTGAAGAGTTTCACACTGGGATGAAACATCTATTCAGCGCTTCTTACTCTTCAGTGATGATTTAAATAAGATCAGTTCGCGATATAAACAATAAAAAATTTGACGATCTCCCATATAAACCCTCTACTAAAACAAAAAGGATGTTAGAAACTAGGGAAGACGCATACGAAAATATAGGAAAATAATAACTGAAAGATTATATTAGTTTGTCTTTTTATCCTAAAGACATAAAACCGAAACGGTGACCAAAACCTGGAAAAAAATTAAAGTTTGTTTGTGGCATTGACTAAATGGAATAACTCCGTACACACACGTTCAATAATAATGAGTTATAACGGTTAGTAAATTGAAGTAATTGAAGTAATAAAACAAGAATAAGGATTGGAGATTGAAATTCTCGAAAAACAGATGCTGAAATTAGAAGCGGTCACTAGGTAATCAAGGTCTACTTTAAATAAAAATGATGTACACCTATAACAGTAGAGCATATGCATTGATTGTTTGGATTTTTTTCACTGATGTTTACGACTGTTACTGATCAGCCTCATTTGGCATATGTGCATTCTGTGCGGATTGCCTTGATACTGTCATTAGATAACAAGCATTATAAGCAAAGATAGATGGTGGCTAGCAGTAGAATCCAAGATGTGAGTTTCACTCTATTTGGGACTCGCAAGCCGCATGACGTCTACTCTGGGATGCATATACATCCACCTTACGAGTCACATATAGGACGAAACGCGTGTCCTGGACTCCACTGTTACCCGAAATCCATCTCTATATGACAGTAGTGCTAACAACAATACAGCTGGAAACTACAGCTTGATGTACGTACTAGTTACGTGGATATTGAGGCTTTTAAATTTATCATTCAGCATACTCATCGATGTACATTTGAAACATATTTGTACATGATGAAAATGTTTGCATATTAAACAAGGAGAAAGAATTTGACCTTTTTAAGTGGGCAAACGATATCCTTTCATTATGTAATAAAATAAAAGTTAAGGGAAATTGTATTTAATTAATTAATGACCACAGTTTGTAAGTAGAGTGAACTTTGCATTAATGAGAAGGCAAAGAACTTTTAACAGACTGGAAAAATAGATCGTTGTTACAATCATTCGGATGATAGATTAGGAATAATTGGGAAGCTAATGTTTCTACGTGATCATGTGATATTGAAATTTGTAAATGAGAGAAATTTGTGCATCATGGCAGTTAGCCATAAAATACAAAACTACCGAGTGGTACAACACAAGGATTGTTTCATTTCAATGGAATGACCATAAATTAAATAGATTTTAGCGATAAAAAAAAATAAATTTCTGTCACTAAACAATAAAAAAAAACAAAAAAGAGGACGTGAGAAATTTAACAAGAAAATAAGGTAAAATCTTCAACCGATTTTCCTGAGAAAGAGAGGTGTGAACGAATCAAACTTTAGGATATATATATATATATATATACATATATCAAGGATTATTCAAAGTGTTCAATCAATATGCATTTTTGCAGCTAACCTGTTTATTGACCAGATAGGAAGTTAGGTGTGTATTTGTTTTTATTCTAAGAATTTCATAAATACGATGAAAAGAAAGCTTTTAATCCACACGATACAAAATAAGCAGAAAATTAGCAATGCAAATATGTGTAGACCACAGAAAAACACGACGATAACAGCGTATCATTTTTATGGAGGTCGATTAGAATTGTTATAATATCTGGATTTCCCAGAACAATCAAGTTGCGAAGTACATCTAGTAAATGTCTAGTTCATGCGAAAATTAACAGTATAATGATAACTTACTTTCTTAGTATATATGTAGTTGTGAATATAGAGCAGTGTGATAACAACAGTTGAATGATTAAGCCTTAAACCACGCTAACACATTAAGTCACAGACTTAAGCAGCGCACTATGATTAAAATACAACTAGTTAGTATATAAATCACTCAAGCAAAAAGAGTTGCAAGTCTGAGCAGTATATCAATATGCACTTGGTAAATAAGTTGTTTTATTAATCATTAATAGTTAGAAGGCAAATAATTCCTATCAACATCTAATAATATCGGACTAAATCTACATTGGGACTTGAACACAAGAGGAAAGGCGTGAAGCACGAGAGTAACGCTTTAATCCAAGGTTGGTTTTTGCAAAGAAAAGTGAGGGTATTTATAGAGGTTCTGATGACCCTGAGAATCTGGACGGTTCGATAACCATGCTAAATATAGCAGCAGTAAAGCTTAATATTCAAACAGTACCGTGACACATGGTTCTGCATTTTACAGATGTTTCAGTGACCTGAGAGACTTTTTTGAGAGGTGATTAGGGGCTCCCCGACAGCTATAATTAATTAATCACAATGAGTCTATGTATTCAATCGTTATGTGTATCATGGAATTCAAATGTGTTAAGATTATCAATACTATCCAGTTGTTAACAGTGATCTGAATTCGAATATGACTGTGACCTAATAAGGAAACGTCCTACTACTGATAAGCTAGTGAGATAGGATTAAGTTGAATCAAAGTAAATTGACGTTTTATTTTGTTTACAACGTATGGTAAACAATAATACTTCAATCATTTATCAAAAATTGAACTTAGAATATGGGCGCGACCTAGAGATAATCCTTACATATAAAAGACTAACGATTTCATAAATATATAAATCCATAATCACTGAACAATCCTGTGAAGATTAAGAGGAAGTTTTGTTACAATAAAGTGACAACTAGCTCAATTTATATATATATATATATATATATATATATATATATATATATATCAGTTATCAGTCAACCACTTAAATATCGTTAATTTGGTGGTCAGGCTTACATATCGTGAGGGTTAGATTAAGATATTTGAGCCAGAACATATGTCCTATCGCTCTAGGCAGGTCGATTGGAGAACAACAAGACTAAAAGCATCAAACTGAAGATCTGAGAGACAAATTGTGTTAATGACTGTACTGGGGTGTGAGACAACAGTAAGGTGTTTACATCAGACAACCGGTATGTCGAGCGGTACTACTTTCCTAAAACGAGAAGAGGATAAGAAAAGAATCAATTGTCAAAATACTACACTACCTTTGATGTCATGGATTCTCGTCTCTCTGACAACGAAGTTTTTTAAGTACCAGAGCTAGCGTATCAAAAAATACTGACAGACGTCAAGCAGTTACCCTTTGGACTTTGTGGTCAGGCCTACAAACTACTAAGACTAATACTACTACCAATTTAGTTTTCTTGATAGGTATTCTTGTTTCAAACATTAGATTAATTTTCTAGAAAATCACTTTGCCACTAACAAAATACTTGTTAATTTTCTTTTACTTTCATAAATTTCCTTTCAATAAATGTGAGAAAGAGTGAAACTGTTATCAACAAATTTGGTTTATAAAGCAAACTGAAGTGTACGAATATCCATCTACAAGTATGTTATACGAAAGTCTATCACAACTGGAATTGTAGTATTCTCAGGTTTTTAAGCTATACAGATATTTCAGTCATATGTAACATAGAACCTAGCACATATGTTCGTTGGTTCAATTCACTGCACATTATTATTTGAGCGAAATCAAATTTTTGGGTTTGATCCCAGAGTAGTACATGCAGTAACAATATTAATGGTAATAGAAAAGAATAAGTAACGAAGATAAGATTACAGAAAGTATAGATTGACGAAATGATTTTTAAAAAGTCACGAAGAATTAAGAAACTTAGGATCTAAAGAACGATGAAAGAGGAATGCACTTGTGCTACCACAAACAATTGGGGGTCTTGTCACCCAGTTTTTAAGCAGTGGTTGTGATTATTATGTGAAACCTAACCAAGTAATCTATACCTGCCTACATGGCTCTGATCAATAGTCAGTTCCTTCATGAACTATTGCTACGGCATAGTTTGGGCGTCTTTAGCTTTCTTCCAACCTATTTCTATACCAGCCATCATCGTGCATCAAGGTAGTCGGTGAACGAAATCGGTATAAGGATAAATCATGAAATTATGTGTGCATATGTAGGTATTCTGAAGTAAAACGGTTTACAATCGCCAATTTTTTTGTAGTTACTATTAGTTGGCAGAAAAAAAGTTTTTTTCCAAATAGACGACAATAAAAGTGCATAACTAATGTCGAAGGTGAGAAAAAACAACAACAAAAGCATAAATGAAATTCTCTCATATAAAATTCTTCCGAAAAAGTGACTGAAAAGCAGGAAATCATAAGGTTTATTGAAACGTAAAAGTTCAAAACAAAATTTTAAGTATTAAATTTTGTATCTTTATCAAGAAAACCAAAATAATAATACAGTCCATCAGATACAGATGGATTTTTTCTACCTGCTCGAAATAATAATAACAATAATAAACACAGCAGTAAAAACAAAGTACAGATTATTATGGGTCACATGAATTCGAATTTAAAATCATTAAGTGAGTATTTTATCGGTAAAATAAATCTCAGTCGATAAAACTATTTTTAAAACAGTGACGAATAAATAGATTGAAAAAGAACTTTGGATTTAGTAATTATTGGTGATATTTAAATTTGCTAACAGTATTGGAAATAATTTATTTCGTTTTAAGTGTAATTTTAAAAGAAGTGATTGTGAAAAATCAATTTCTTATACATTTCATCATAGACGACGTTATAACTATCTTAATCCCTCTAAGTTATTGCTATCTTTCGCTTTCGTTTGAGGTTACTGAAAGATTAGAGAGGTTAATACTTCGCAGTCACGTTGCAGTGTAACTTAACATTATTTCTAGTTTAGCAAAATTTAGCTGAAACTAGATTATACTATGTGGAGTAGAAGAATGAACAATTCGCATGTTCTCTTTGATAAGAACCTAAAACTCTCATTCGATATAGCGTAGTAGGTAGTAAAAGTCAAACAGTCAGACATAAAGAATGTAGAATCTTCTCCACATGTGCATTAGTTTATCACGCCTATATCAGCGCAATAAGATGGAAATATAAAGAAACACAGGGAATAATAGAGGTAGTAACAATATCAATGGAAGACAAAAAGACTAAACTAAGATAACTTAATTCGATAAATAAACTTCTACGAAATAAAGTGCACAATAATTTTAAATCTCAATATCTAACAAAAGATAATGAGCGAGTGTATTTGAGCCATATCATCATGTCAATAATGCACTAACGCTTGAACCTCAAACTTCTCTCATACAACAATTATTGGGGGATATTGATTGATGGGAAAATTTATAAATTATTATTCACCTGAGTAAAAACTTCTTAACAGGCGATATTTTCAAATTAAAGAATAACTGTACAACATTTAACACAGCCTGAAGCTCTTCTAGGGTTACTGCCAGTCCAAAGCACGGATAAAAGAGGAGGGTTGGGCATGAGGTTAGCAACCACATCCCGTAGAAAACAAACTTGTTAAAAAAAGCTAACGAGAGAAAAATTGAACTATTTGAGCCCTACACTATGAGTTGGGAGTTCTTCATCTGGAAGAGTTACGGCTACTCACGGTGTAAGCCTCGGAATCCTTCAGATGTCATAGGGCCGATGACGGTCCTGATAACCAGAGCAACAATTAATAAAAGGGGGATGGAATGTTTGCACAATGTTGGAGGATCGGAAGAAATATGCAGGTTGCCGTGGAAATGAGTGAAAGACATAGAATGCAAGCTGGACAGAGAAAACAAGCATCAGGAGAGAAGCTGTCATACTTCGAATATGACAAAGAAAATGACTTACACACGGGAGGAGTTGCACTGATGCTGTTCAAATAAGTCCAAAAAGCAATGATAGAATGGGAGTTGATACTCTGGCGAGGATTCAAGAAAGGAAGAACAATAAGGCAACAATCAAAATCAGCCAAATACAAGAAGAGAGAGCCAAGGCAGCGACTGGGTACACAGTGGCAAACAAGTAAGTGAAGAGGAACACTAAAGCTAAAAAAGAAGGAAACAAGAAACAACTGTGTGGTACAACAAAAAAGCTGGATAGAAAGTGCAGTAAACCAGAACCACCAGTGTAGAAAGAGGAAGGTAACCCAATCATCGAAATCGAAGAACAACGAAATAGTGGGCATAGCACCTGTAAGTACTCTTCAGTAGACTAGCCAAACTGAACCAACTCAAAATCGAAGCAAAATCTACAGGCCTCCCATCAACAGTCCAAGAAATTAGCAGGGTCAGATAACATATCAGTCGAGGAATTGAAGGCAGACATAGCAGTAAAAGCAAAGAAGCTCCCGGCTCACTTCAGCAAGATTTGGGAAGAAGAACAAGTACTAACGGACCGGAAAGAAGGACACCTCACCAAGATACCAAAGAAACCAGATCTCTGCAAGTGTGAGAAATACAGACGAACCATATTCCTATAAATACCATGAAAGATATTCAACAGTGTCGTTGAACAGATACAGGAGACGCCCGACTTCGAGATCAACAGGCTAGATTCTTTAAGGATCGATCGTGTGCCGACTAAATCGCGACACTACGAATCATTGTTGAACAATCAATTGACTGGGTCAAAAACAGGAAACGATTTGTTTGGTTCATCGAAGTGACTGAACATTGTTTAGATTTTGATAATTTTGACAGCAATGACATTCGTTTATATCATGATAATAATAATAATGATACTAGTAATGATAACAGTAAATATAAAAGTAATAATAATCAAACAAATAAATACATGACCACTTTACTTACTGTCCACTAACTATATCCTGTCGTACTTGTAAACAAAGATAGTAACGTGTTAAATCTTCTTTAATTGAGTCAATATCACATGGATAGAATTTAACTTGAAATTCAAATTGCCATTCATTTTCTAAATAAAAAAAACAGTATTATGATGATGTAAATTAGACCAATTGAGAATAACATGTCTATAATGAAAACGACATGAAGAGTCTGATGTATATCTATGTAAGTAACTACTAGTATGTCAGCAACAATAGGAAAAGGGGGACTAACAAAGTGTACACGATGAAAAAGTCAACATCAATGAAAGAATGACTTTCAGCCATTGTCATTGATTCTAAGGTGTCTAACTAGAAATCTTTTAAGCCACTAGGATTGAGTTTGGTCAAAAACTAAAAGCGTTCAAAGTGATCAAACGGGCTTGAAACCCTCCTTCTGTTCGACCAGTAATTATGTAGTTGGTCGTGGTAGTTTAATGTGACAGAATAGTTCATACTCTCTCAGTTGATAGTTTTGAAAGCAAACAAATTCACAAACCAAAATCGATAGTTAGTTATCGCTGCTATTAATATTGAACCAGTACAAAATAATATGATTTGATATCAAACAGTAACAATAATTAATAATAAGGATAATTCTAGACCAACTGCTGATTCATACTGAACAACTATACTATAATGTTGATAAAATGAAGGAAACGATGGTTTAATTTACAAGTAAAATAAACTAAGGCATATATTCTAACAATTAACCCATATGTTATATTTCCAATTAGTTTAATGCTTCATCATCTCCTGTATCAACTTTTATTACCATAAAATTTGAAAGTGATTGAAATTATCCAGTGGTTTTTACATCATTTATATGCACCAGATATTATCAGTTCGTTAGCCAAGGAAAACCAGACACTATCTCACATGGTTTAGTTATTACTATTTATCAGATTACATTGTTACTTTTAACCAATAAACATAAAATTTATTTTTATTATTCCTACAGGCTTTGTGCTTCAGTAAAGTGCGAAGAAGTTGGGTTAGGAAAAAAAATGCCACACATTTTCTTGGGAACCTTTATATTACTGGAACTAACTGACAATAATGTGTATAAATATTCGTAGACACATCTCAGTTCTACAGGTTAGTTAAGGCCTAAACTGCTGATTGATAACTTCTCTGACTATGAAGCTGGATGATATGGAATCGAATCCACAACAGAGTACCATACCAAGAATACAGGTAATTCTTGATGAAGAGTACCAAATGGCACGAAATTTCCTGATGACTGATTCCAACCACCGTATATCTTAACACAGACCAGGTGATGTATAGTTACTTAGACTAGTGCCCACATTGTAGCTTAATTGATAGCAGTAGGTTAGCCCTGATAAGGACATGATAAACATGACATTAATCACTAAACAGTGATTAATCAATTTTAAATACATATCAGTCCTACAGTAAATTAGTTGTGGCTCGAACAACGCAACGGTAGTGTTTCAGACTGCGAAATCAGTTTATACGAATTCACATTGCACAATGATCGCTACTACCTCCAAGATAATACGTGAGCTCTGCAACTAGCGTGAAAAGCAAGTTGAGAGTTTCCTGCTAACTAATTTCAACAGCCTAAAATAACACAGTAGAACAAGGCAATACATAGTTTAAATCCCACTGAAAATACGAAACAAATAAAAAAAATAAAATCATTTTTAAAATTACTACTCCAGTAGATAGATAGTAGTATATATGCTCCCTTAATGCGTGAGGGAAATAAAACGGTGATCGTCTACATAGATGAATAAATGAGAAGAAATGTTTACAATACAACCGCTTCAAATATGGTCAATGATCGAAGCGAACTAATGAGATCAGTTATTTGTAGAGAATAATTCATACGATTTCATAGATGTTTTTTAACGTCATACTGCCATCACTTGGGGTACCAATAAAATAATAGGTGTTATTGGGTAGATGTTTCGCCAAAGTATGGGACAAGTCAGCAGTGTGTAATTAGTGACGAAAATCAATTCACATGAAACTTCTCAAAGGGATGTGGGTAATATCGAAAAAAAGCATACGGCAACTTACTACCAATTTGTTTTGCAATTTTCTGATCAAGTTGGAGCCAGAACTAGATAATAACAAAAACAAACAAAACCAAATGAAAATAATGAGATGATAATCGCAAGAGAATAAGGGTTAATTATGAATTGATTGAAAGCCGGAAGTTTATTCTACAGAATAAATAAAAGCAATAATCACACACAAAATCATGCAATAGTGTATATGGGGCAATGAGTTGTAATCTAATTATCTATGTAGTCAGTTTTGAATTACATATTATTCAGACGAAGGTTAGTGATACCATCTGGTTAACTAAATGGACGTCGGTTAGGAGGCGTGGATTGATTGCGCAACAAAGTATTGGATTAAAAACTACACTCCTTTGGTATGGAAAGAAAAACATTTAACTACAATTGGTAATTACCATTCTGATTATATTTGGATACATTAAACTGTGTATCTGAAAGTCAGTTTAGAGATTATTCAACAAAAAAAATAGTATAAAAAATTGATTTGTATGTATTGGGTTGTGTAAATCGTCAAACTCGACTGAAACCATGAACTGATCTAAGTTGAAAACCAGGAAGCATTGGACGGGTGTTTCGTCCTAACATGGGATTACACAGTAATTCGCCTCCATGACCGAAGATCGAACTCTGAACTTCCAGCCTCCTGCGTGGACGTTTACTCTCAAAAAAACCAAAGTAACGGAATACAATAGTTTACAAGTCTAACTCCAATCAATCCACAATATTGGACAGCCGTCTCTCAGCATAAATAGGCGCGCGGAAAAAACCCACAAAACATGGTTGTGCAATATTGTTGGTTGATTGGAGTTGGACTTGTAAACTATGTATTCCGTCTCTTTGGTTTTTCGAGACTAAACGTTCGAGCGTGAGGTTGGAAGTCTAGAGCTCGATCTTCGGTCCTGGATGCGTACTACTGAGGAATTCCATGCTAGGACGAAACAGCCATCCAGTGCTTCCTGGTTTTCAATGGTTGTCCAACTTAGATCGGTGTGTGGTGCCAACGAAATCTATCTGATTGAGATAGCACCTCATAATGAACTATAATACCGTCTGATACGTTTCATGTTATAAATTATTGCTTTTACTTCAGTTGGTCCACTTTATAAACTTTGACAGAACAGTGAAAAGACGTAATCAATCTGAAAAATGTGACGTAGCTGTGATGTATTTATGGTCTAGGGTAATGTGACAATTTCCTACCCTTTCTTATTCTTTCTATTTAACGTTAATTCTCTATCTTCTTCACCTACAGTCATCACCTTATGTGTATTTGAACTTTTATTTAATTGACCTTTTATTTACTTCATATAAAATGCCTTGACAAGTAAATATGTGTGACCGGATTGTTCGAAATGTATGGTGCAAACACATCACGTTTTTCAAATTAATTACATCTTCTCACTGTTCTATCAAAATATTACTTTTAGATTTGATAAAGCATCATAAACACTTGTAACGAATTCCTTGTTAGAGGAATTCGCTTGTTTTGGAAAAAAAATTAAGTAATTTTATTAAGCTAATGGATAAAAAACATTTTCTGAGGTCCGTTGATAGACCTGATTCAGAGAAAAGTTTTTCTTGATGTTCAATCCAATCTAGATAGAAAACGGTTAGTTTCGGTGCCTATGTTTGGGTGACATAAAGATGCAAATTCGAACACAATGACCATCAGCTAGCTGGTATCCCCTTTCTAACTCTTTATTATTTTAAATTAAATCAACTTCCAGCACTACATTTTTCAATTCCACAGAAAGTTTTTTGAGCTGTTATACTTTATTGAAATCGATATTAATTATTTTTACTCTTGTCATGTTGAAATGAAGTGTTTAGCAACTTTAACTGCTTCACAAGCTAATTCTCATGATAGGTGTTACATTGATGGTACCCGATTGATTGACTCTCTCTCACTTTGGTGACCGATTTATTTATTTATTTGAATAAATTCTACAAAGATTATCATCATCCGGTCGAATATTGTACTGGAAATAGTCATAAGTTAAGTGCTGAAGAGAATATTTTCTTCAAAATCTAATATTCACACAAAAGTGCCAGCACTGTATTGTTAAATTAGACGGCAGAAAATCAAACAAGTGCTTTCTGTAGAGAAATTTACCAATCATATATAAATTATGTGGTTCACAATGTAGAAACATGTTCTTTTCAATTCACCTTGTAAGCTAATCAACGACAGGATGATGCACTCAACAAAACTTAATCAACTTAGAAATACAATACAATACAGTGCATAAAAATGTTGCAAAATTTATGACACTTCAATTAAGCTTTTTTTACAAATTAAATTGTCAGGTGTGTGATTTTAAAGTAAATGATCATAGTGCTACTGTGTATGTGTATGAAATTTATATGATAACTAAATAATTCGGGTGTTTTTACACCGAGTGCATAGATAGGCTTTCGAAACTATGTTAAAAAAATACATCTAATTTGCAGATATGAGAGAAATTAGTATGATTACTTGATAGAATTTTTTTTACATTCCCTCAGTCCTATACTAATAGCAAATCTTCATTGCAGTATTCAACGCACCATCAATTTTCAATCAACACGTCAAATCACAATTGATGAAAATCTCAAGTTACATGAAGTGGTAAGCGTTTTCGAAAACCTCATTTTGTACTATTAAGCTACGGGTTGATGTTTATCAGTCACTAATCCTGAAACAATACTTTGCAGTAGAAAATGAACGCTATACATTCACAATTTATCGTTCAACTGCTTCAGAAGAATGTACTTTTAAACAATTTCTCCAAACAGGTCTACTGCGTTCTCAAAATCAAAATCGATGAGGATGTCATGGAGATGGGAACAAGATTAGGTAAAAATGGGTAAAACGGATGGTCATAATAAAAACAATGGGACTAAGTTTCGAAAACAAGGGGAGTAGATCTGTGGTGGCCAGGAGTTTTTCTGGATGTTTGGGGGATCTCAAAATCTGAACAGGAAAACTAACTAACAACTGATGAATTCATGAGCTCTGAAGCTTGATGAGTAAAATAAATTAAAGAACTTAGTGAGGCTAAATCATATAGGGCATTTTTATGAACAAGTGCTTTCTTTGTTACAGTATCTGGATTCTTCAACACCTCTAGCTTTTACTTTCGAAACTTATCTCATTGAATCATACTTCGTGAATAATATCTTCTAATTCTAACCTCTCCGATTACTTCTAACACCTTTACTACCTCTTCTACTATTGGATTTGAATTGACAATTATATCTATGTGCTGATGTGGTATGGCGACATGAACTGATGTACTTACGTACGAAGTTCTACGTTGCAACTGACTGACTGACTGACTGACTGACTTGTTACAGTATGGGAGAATTCTGACAATTTAGTATATTATTTGCAAATTAAACTGTTAAGCAAGGAGAATCCAAATCTGTGAATAAATGTTTAACACCACTGGGAAGCACTCTACTATACTGAACATCTGAGACTTCCTATACAGAAACTAAGTGTTAATTTGTTTACGAAATTAGTAGACAGACTAATTTAATAAATATTTTGAAAAACACTTACCCAATTATTGGTTGAATCGTAATATGTTATGCCGAAAAATTCAACCTCTAATAACCCAAGATGTGTACAAACGGCATCGAATAATTGTTGTCCGTAGGCAGCTTTCTAAAAGCAGAAATGATGTTCACTAGTATTTCGGTAAGGAGGATATTAAACTTGAAGTAAAACAATATATAGTTATTAATAATGGATAGTTTGAAAAGATGTTGCGGAAACATGGTTATGAGAAAGGATGTTTCTGGTTCTTTGAAAAAATATAACAATTTGTGTAAGAACTTAAGTTGTATATAGTGTTTGCTATTAATCACCGAGATTTTCAATAATGATATTTAGGCGATAAAAATACACTTTTGTTTCTTAAAAATGAACATGTAACGCAGACTTCAGCCTAGAAATAAAAAAATACATACTATTCACGCTTTCATGCCAAATTGTTTATCGTCTTAAGTGTCTAAGAATTGGTGTGAAATCGATCAGCAATAAGTAAAATAGAATATGGTACACTACATGTGATTGACTTTAATGCTGTTCACAATTAACTGTCTACATTCACTTTTCCAGGGTACATGATTATTTTTTGAGGATGTTAAATAGACACAATTTGGTCTTCAGTTGCACCATAGTGGGAAGGTGAACGTTTTAATTTGATGGGTAGAAAGGAATTTGTCACTATCTCCTTAAGACTACTCAAATTTAGTAACACTAGATTAGTAATACTGGGGTTCAACAGTATGTTTAGGAAAGACGTCAATAATTCAATTGGTGTCATTTAGTTCGATGGTTTAGACATTTAACAAATATGACTACAGCGACTCTACACCGTATATTATTTTCCGACTCTGGGATTGGATGTAATGGGCAGAAACGTGGTCAGTTTGTAGTCAAGGTTAGTTATTTAAAGGCTATTTTTATAGGACTGGCACCAACCAGGTCATCAAGACTCCTAGTTTGAAGTCCTAAACGACGTACAAATCTCTTTGTAACACTACCAGACGCAATCTTGATACAGTTCCCTACTACTTGGTGCATAAAGTTACACTAACTTTTTTATATGAGACATCTTTCTTGGCTTAATTTTTAACTGAACTGTATCTACTTTCAGATGTTATCTGTTTACTAATTAATAAACGGTACAATCCCTAGCACTTCATTCACTTGACGATCTTGTCATTGCATTTGCGTGGTGGATTTTTAGTACCCAATCGTGTCAAATCTTTATTGGTATAAACCAGTCAATCAATCACATAGGTCCCTTTAGTTTCAAGACTTGCTCTGATATATTTTCAAAATATCACTAAGCATGTCAAAGAATTCGGGATTTGACAGTAAATAAGAATAGAATGTGTGCTGAATCTCTTCACAGGGATTTTATGATGAGAATTCTTAAAACTAGCAACATGATTCTAGACCAATAGTTAAGAAGCACTAGGCCTATGACATTATTATTATTGATAGTTTGGACTTAAAATTGTGGTCCATAGAAGCAAAAACTCAGTACAAGTACTAATTCGATTAAACAAAAAGGATATGATTAGATTACACCATAACTTACATCTAAACGAAACTCTCTTGTTGTACCATCCAACATTACGACTGTACAATCTACTACTTTACCAGAAGGTTTAAAATCAACAATTGATGGGTGAGATGATCCACGTAGAGTGCCACCACCTGGGCGGGGTGATGATGAGTTAGCACCCAATAAACCAGATGAACCATTGGCTAATCCAGCAGCTGAACCACTCGAAATACTGCCTAATCTGTGTACAGTTCCAGAATTCGGACCAGTGCTGTTGAACCGCCGAAGACTCATGTAATACTCCTTTTTAGGCAACCGATCAGTTATCTCAATAGTCCCGTCTTGCAGCTGGCTCCAATTATGACTTTCGAGATTTAGGAGGTGAGTGGATTCTCCAACTGCTTCGTTGTCTGATAAAAAAGTACTCATTGCTGGTGGTTCCATGGCATAACTCATACCAAAAGGGAACAGAAAGAGCGTGAAGTGAAGCTAAAATAAACATGGAGAACTTTATTACCAGAAATTATCCTTACAGTATAAAAATCCCAGAGATAAATATTAGACAATTAATTAGTGAACGCTCTAGCGATATATCACGGATAGCTAACTGAACATCGATTATATTTTATGTATCTCATTGTTTAAATATCAAAGTATTTCTAAAAATTGGAAAAATGATTTTTGTAAACTTATGAACATACAATTGTGCCGAAAACTAAAGAGTGTCAGGCGCACGTTTACGAAAATGTATAATAAAGATAATTCACAATAGTCACTCGTTTTCATACATGAAATTGTGAAAATCGATAGTAGTAACCTAGTTAACCACAGAGAAATCGAGTTCGGTATCTTGAACTAAACTAATGAGCTAGACTCATGTACAGAACCAGAACAAGTCAATCAGTGAGTCAGTTACAACGTAGAACTTCGTACGTAAGTTCATGTTGCTGTACCACATTAGCACAGAGAAGCAATTGTCAACTCAAATCCCATAGTGGAAGAGATAGTAGAAGAATTACTGCTAATGGAAATAAGGATTTGAAGATAATATTCAAGAAGTATAATTCAGCGAGATAAGTTTAGAAAGACAAAGGTAGAGGTGTTGACGAATCCAGAAGATTAGGATTTGAGGGAACACAAAGAATGGATGCACCTGCTCCATTGCAAACGATATTGAGCCATGTCATTCAAGGTCTCTAACCATCGGGGACTTTCGTCTCGCGGACCCCAACCAGGTAGCCTACATTTACCAACATGTGAGCGTCATGAAGTCTACAGTGTGATGAAAAACCAAGAACTTCCAAAACTAGTGAGACACGTCAATCCATTACGGCGGTAAGATAATACTAGTGACAGGACACAAGTCAGAAAAATCGTAGCTGATTTTACAGTGAATTTCAAACGGGAAGGATCGGCGAACCTTACGACGTTAGGTATAACAAAGCAGAAGTTGAATACAAAATCTTAAGCCCCACTGTCTGGAGATAAAATATGCAGTTTGAACTCTCACCAGTAACAGAACAACTCAGTGCAAAATCTCTGAAAGCATTTTCGATGAGGTAAGAGAATGTTAGACTATAAACACTATAAATTATCCAACGAAAGAACAAACATGCATGTAAACCTGCAAAATTACTTTGTTGATAAAGTACACTTTCGCTGAAGCTGTGTAATAGAAAAGGAGCAATATTATGGAGGTAAAACACCCAATTGGTAAATTTGCCGATTATTATGTAGCCAACAATTCTAGTGGTATTAGGAATCTGGTAAGGATGTGACAAGTAGTCCAGTTGGACTAAAATAAACCCAACACAATCGAATGGACGCTTTCTTGGCACAAACACTCCCAGTCATTTTAAACGAACATACAAAAACCAGCATTAAAGATATGCTTCTATTGATGTAACCAAATAAAATTTAAATCTATGCAGTTATCATGAACAGTTATGTGCGAAGATTTCTAGTCTGAAAGTTCAGATTTATTAGCATGAGCAATCACATGTGCATGATAAATAAATATACTTCAAAATAAAATACAACACTACAGCTACAAACAACTACGCAACACAACATACCAAGGTACCCACTCGCAAAAACGAAAACGTAAGATGCGCTTCGTACCGCTTTTCTTTTTAAGGTCAAAAGCCTTCAGTATTCAATGGCACAAAGGAATATCAGTTCTAGTTTTTTATAGCTAGTTGATTTTAAGAAGATCAAGTAACAAATCATACCCTCTCACGCGTTTAAATTCATAATTAAAACGTCATTTAACGAGAAGCTTAGCGTTATAAAGTGATTTCACAATCGGAAGGCAGACAGAAACTTTGAAATATATTGGGTAAAATGATTGAATGATTATAAGTTAACATGTCTCTGAGCTGCGTAGTACGGTGCGTGAACATTAACGTCATACTTCTTGAACGAGGATCATGAAACTATCATTCTTACCTTGATAAAATTTTACCAAGAGACAAAATCTTCAGCACTGATGACTCCAATATCCATTAACTTTTTTCACAAGCTAGTATAAACCAGTTGATATCTTTGATCTTGAATCTTATTCCTCCGGTACGGTTCCAGGTGTTTGTCGGATTCCAGTGGATGGTGTTCTAGCCACTCAACTACATTAATCGTAATCATTTGTCGGTTGATTGTGAGTTCGTATGACCGGTAATTTGAATGAATACGTTCGTTTCAGGGCATTCGGGTTTCCGGATACCAGCTGCTATCACGTTGCTAGGCCAGTGACTAGTTAGTCGTGTTGTAGAGAATAATAAGGAGAAAAGTCTAATGTGAATAAGAAGATTTAGGACTAAATGAATGGATAGATAAATTCATTAATTGGGAGTTTAGATTGTGTGAGACAACAGAAATGTAAACAAGGACAGGAAGCAGAGATTATAAGCGAGACAGATTGCGTTAGCGATCTGAGTAGATGGAAATAATAACAACTGGCAGGTTATAAGACATAAATTTTAAGCTTTTCTAAGAATTAAGTTGAACAACCACAGATCGTTAGTTGAAAAATATACCCTACAAATTTTAGACTTTCGCAATGATAGTGTGTGGGTGTATCTTAGTGAACATTGACCGGCCAACTTATCTGAGCCAGACTACTATGATTTCTACGACTGGAGAGTAGAAATCCGCGTACATGAGAATGGAGCTCGTGACCATAGTCAAGACTAGGTCTGCAATATTTCGTTGTCCTTACTTACGACAATAACTGGCAAGAATTTTTTCGAAATTCGACTAGATTGAGTCATGTACGTGGATGACGCACTAACCTCCGATTCATTTTTAGGCAATATCAATATCACCATTATGTATACTTGATATTTTAAAGTTACGAAATTGCCCTTGGTCCTCCGAATATATGTTAAGTGATTATTCCTTGTTATTCGCAAGGCAAAATATTCGTTTCTGTCTCATCAGCATAATGAATAAAGCAATAGACTAATTCGAGCTTAAATCTGTGCGAATGTAACAACGAAATATTCACTCACTATTTAGGAGAACAGTGATAATTTTTCCAGCTGACATAAATGTTTGCTTTTTAACGAAATTATGCACCAAAACTATATTTTACAAGGCATATTTTTCCAGTTTTGATTTATACAGTTAATTAGTTTGTCCTTGTATATTCTGTACCTGCATGACTGAACAATCTTCAGTCACTTTTCTTCTTAAAGACTAGATAGTCTAAAATAGCAGTTTCATACGCTTGGGTTGTAAATAAATTGTTGAAATTAGTATGATGTGTAGTGACCACGAAAATTTGTACCACTAAGTTTTTACAAATTTAACGTATTTAGGTTTCAAACTTTCTAGTCGAAAGGGATAAGTTGCTCGGATGCAGACAGATTGCAACCCGATAACATTTCAATCTTGTACACAGCCGAAAGGAATATGAGTAAGCGACATTTTAATACCATACCTGCCCTGTCGACACATAAATCGACGGTCAGACATCTGTACTGTGTCTAGTGTAAAATGGCATATGTCGGTCGAAGGTGAATATACGACTGAAGAAAGGCCCATGAGGTACAAAATCCCACGATATAGGTTTTCTTCCTTGTCCTGTTCTTCAAGTAGCGAGAGATAAAAGACGCAAAGATGTCTGACCGTAAGCCTAGGTCTGTCACAATCACCCTGGCGAAAGTTAGAGAATAGGCACAGGTTTCGAAAAAGAATCAACCAAATGTCTTTGAAGAAATACAACTTCCAGTAACAACAGTCCCGAAACTGTAGACTGGTCATAGTGACGGATCAGTTATCTTTCTGAAGGTAAAGGAACGAGAATGGTGGACTCGAAATCAGCTTGAAGTATGATATTTGGTTGATGGAAGGTCAACTATATACTCTTCAATAAGTTACTGACGTCACCTTGCTGAACGTTTATGAAGTAGGAACCCTAATGGGACCCAAAAGAAAATCCAACTATTTGGCCAAAAGTAGTATTTGAATCTCCCAGTGAGAGGTAATTATTACTTTAGGATAGGCTCAAACCGAAGGGATCCAGAATTATAGTTCATAGGACCTTATCATTCACGTTCTGTATTAAGAAAAGAAAGGCAGACAAAGAACTCAAACTAAGGTTACATGCTGTCGGGAAGAGTCTTGGGATTGTAAAAATTTTAAGCGACGAGTGTTCAGCAGGAGATAATGTCAAAGCCTTTATAGATGCGGGACGATATCGTTTAAATGATCTGCAATCTTTTGCAGAAATGCTTGGAGCTTACTCAACAAGCCAGGCCTACAGTTAAACACAACTAATATCTATCACAGAAACACGGTTTATATACAATGACAAACTTGATTTCGAAAATTTTACAATAAGTAGGACCGACAGATTCCAAAAGCCTAAAAAAGAGATTTGCGTTAATTATCAGAATTACTATCCGGTTTATTGTTACCAACAACATATTCACTGAAAGTTGGACGTGCGAACAAGTTTGTTGCTACTTGGGGTTCAAAGGACAAGATCCACTAATTGGCTTGATTTATTGCACTCAAAAATGTGTGTAGAAAGATGGCCCAGTAACAAAAGTTCAAAGCTTAAACTTTAAATTGCTCATGTTTAATTTTGAGTGAGTTGGTTCGCACGTCTCAGAATAAGAGTGAATGAATGCCTTAAAAATTAAGACAATTGAAACTCAGGGGTGAAATCTCAGTATCAGGATGCTTGAAAGCTATGTGCTTTAATTCGTCACAACTCTGGAGGATTGTATGAGAAGAAGCTAACAAAGACTTTTTTGGAATTCTGAAAACTAAGAGAAGAAGCAGCTCATCATCATTATGGGCAAGTTGTGGAACTGCATTATTTGTGGATGACAATTATAGTGAGCCTCAGGTATTTCCAATCTAGTATGGCTTTGTATGTACCATTTTGGCGTCTCTCTCCAGGTCATACAATCACCTACATTCACATTCTGGACAATGCGGCAGTTAAGAGACTCAAAGTCAGCGATCTGATAAATATGCATGATTAGGATTAGTCTATGGAGCTCAACTAAGCTCACTACCTACCACTCTTAGAACTAGAAGTTTCATCACAAATTCTTCAGGCATATTCTTATTATGTTGTAGTGAGCGAGTCGAGATACCAGATTGACTATGCTCACCACTAAATGTCCCATAATATCCCACCGTTATTCATAGCAAAACAAAATAAATCCATATTTCAAGGTTTTATTGAAGGAGACAGTAGGCATTACATGGGGAACAGCAAATAGAGGAAAATGGAAGCAACGAGAAGAGAACGTTGCGCGCAAGAAGTCGAAGAAGTGTTTTTGGTACAGTTAAACAAAACGAGTACAATAATGTTTATTTTTCACAAATCGTATTTTCTTCGTAGAAGCGTTCCACTACAATGTAATGGGACAAGTCGCAGTTGACAATGAGCACAGGCGAGACTAAAGTGCCTACGTGAGCACGGTCAGGGTCACAAGCAACGGAAAATGTGGGTTTGTGGTACAATTAAGCAAAAAAGCACAGTAAAACAATCACTGGTACAATTGATTATACTAATAAATGTTTCTATTGAACCAATCACATTCTCTCCATCAAAGCAGATCACTACAAATGTGAAATAAGGGAGCTTACCAAAGTACCGGAATAACGTTTTTGGAGCCCTGGACACATAATCCTGACCACAGTGGTTGTGAATATCTTGTAAAAGAGTATTTGTAAGGAACTGTTAAAGTATTTATACAAAGATAAGATTTATTGTGCAAAGTGGTACGGATTTTTAGCAGTATATACATGTCTCACAATCCTCTTAGTAACACGTAAATATTGGTTTTCACTTAAATATCAAAATCTATCTTTAAATGCAGCCTTCCTTGAGATTAGAATGGTGCCTTACAAAGTACGTCGCTATTGGCTTCTCTCAAAGTAAAACTGGTATTAAGGGGAATTTATGAGGGTCAAGGATTTTCTAGTTCGGTGCTCACATTCAAATCATTCACGCATCAATCAATCTTCTCAGAAGCATGGTCACCTAATACCATAATACACCTTTCGATTTAACCTATTTCTGACATAGATATTCGATCTAATATCTCAACATGTAAATTATTCTGATTCCAACCAATAAAACTCCGCGAATTTTTAGTGGTGACCGGTCGAGATGGACTATTATCACCACTAAATACTGATTACTAGCAAGTCAATGAAGTATAAGTCAATCCAGGGTAAAGAATATATTTGAAGGAGAAAGTGGGCGGCATAGGGAGCAGCCAGTCATGAATATTAATAGCAACGAGGAAAACAGAAAGTCGCGCGTAAGTGTTTTAAATTGCAGTTAAACAAAATGGGTACAATAATAAATGTTTCCTTTCCAATAACTGTGTTTTCTTCGTAGAAGTGTTCCATTACAAATTCATCGAGGTTTCTAAACCTGTTCTCAGCAATTTATTGCTCAGTATAATATAATATTTTTATTGACAACAATTAAGATCGTCAGTAAACGGTTAGATTTTTTATGTCAGCGAAGGTATTCACTCCTCAGGTTCCTGCGGTGAGCGATCCGGTGGAATATAAAGAACGTCAAACGCTGAACTGAGAAAAATAACGTTAGCGGATTCTTCATAATACTCCTCTGGATAAGGCATCGAATATTCTGAAGAGTATTTTGGCACACCATCTCAACCCATGAAATAACTCAATTAATCAACCCTAGGGTTGAAACTTATCAGACATATATTGGACACAACTCTGTAATGCTTCATATGCTGAATTTACTCTTGGTTCACATTAGCATTATCCCTAACAGCCTATTTTTTCGAATGAAAGTATATTTCATGGTGACAAATGACCAATTGTCTATAATTGTTTTGTTTGTCTTATGTAACATAGAAGATGAAGTTCATCCTGTACCCAATGATCAAGCATTTGACCTACACAACTTAATTATTCCCTATTGCTGTAAGTAAACAAGAAACTCATTCAATATAGCCAGTCATGGATCATACTCGAGCTCCTTGAGTCCACAAAATCATTCGGAGAAAAGAAATTCGTGACAAAAAATAACACCGACTAACAGTCATGTTTAGTAGTTAACTGAACAGAACGCTGCTACTCAAAATAAGATTTCATCACAGGCATTCACACGGTTATAATTTGCGTTTTTGTCAAGAAATTTCACTTTTTCAGATGGGTTATCACAGTGAAGGAAATGCTTGGATTAATTGCGCCTTTATGTGAAACTACTTCGATTTATACTTGCGTTTTAATAAAGAAAAATAGTATTTGTAAATTCGATTGGAGACGAATTTGCTACCATAACCTTTTATCCAATTTGAGACGATTTTCTCGTATTTTAAGTCCTTGATATATCATAATATTACCTGTTTTATGGGATAAATTGAATTCCACTGAGAACCACCATGGCATTTACCACAGTTCGTCTCATCTGTTTAATAAATCTCAACTGGATACAAACCAGCCTTTTGCATTGCTTCATTAAACTGACATTCAACGTGAATGACTTTATCATGTGTGAGGACAGGTTCCTAGTTGTCAGAAAGAAAATTTGATTTAAACGTCACCAAGGTATTGTCCATCTAGATAAGATCATCAGTATGACCTTCGGGTAGAAGTGAGCTATCTAAATTTATTCACACATGACTGGAACTAAATCGTATTAATGTTTGAATACTGTATTCGACAGGACAAAGGTAAACAACAGTAACAAATCGAAGTCGATAGGACAGGATGATAATCATTCTGACAGTGGAATTCTAACTAAAGTTTACACTGATGTTTTACAAATAGACGATTGCAACATTAAAATAAACCACTCACACCAAAGAAAGAAACTCCGGGAAAAAGCATTACTTGTTAGGAAGTCTATGGAACCCTAACTGTACAAATATACATTTCGTCTGATCAAAAGTTACTAGATAAGAATACTTCCATAATAAACGACTTCATAAATTAGATTGTATAAATATAAATTGTTTACAGTTATTTATTCAACCAAATGTATTCACAAATGGATTGTTATGCAGAAATGAATAAATACATTTTTGAACTCAGTAATGACATATTGATACAAAAAAGGAAACAAAAAGTGCTTAACATTGAACTACAAAATATCAACAGTCTAAAAAAGTGATTACATAAAAAAAAAATACAATGTTTAGTTAAGCAAAGACTTTACAAATACAAGCACTATAAATACTGTTGGCTACCATGACTAAAACGACTAGTGAGCTTTTTCGAATGTTCAATTATTGCTTTTCGAGCAGCTGTATCGATTCGGGATAGTTTAAGATCTTTTTCACGATCGAAAGGTCGTCTGATAGGTTCATTAGGTGGTGAGCTGGATGATGATGACGATGACGATGATCTCTCACGGTCTTTTTTATGCTTCTACAGAGAGAGAAAAACACAGAAAAGAGTATAACATTTACCAAAGAATAAAATAAATGCCTACTTTGGATTTATGCTTATGCTTTTTGGATTTCTTCTCATGTTTTTTCTTTAGTTTGCGTTTGAGTTTCTTCTCATGCAGTTCAAGTAAACTTGACTTTTGTTTTGAACCCTAAGAAGTAAGAGAGTGGACAGATGGGTAGGAGGCGGGGGGGGGGGAATAAAATTATATTAATATGCGTAAAATAAAAATTACTTGACATTCCGAAGCAATTTTTGCCATCTTCTGATCATAGCCTTCACGTTGTTCATATTTTACGGTATCGTTGGTTAATTGACTTGTCTGAAATAAGTGGATACACAATAAGCATTTAAATTTAATAATAATATTAATAATATCATATGTTTGGTACAATATGGAATTCGCAGAAGGGAATACTCCAACAAATTTTCCCTACAATACCAACCAATAACTGCCTTCATTCATACATTAAAGAAATCAGGTAAACAAACTATTCGGAATTCAAATGCAATGTTTTTCATGAAAGGACAAGAATCTATAGAATATTTAATCAGTAATATGGCCAGAGGTGTAGAATTTTGACCAGGTCATCTCTCACCATCTGTTCATCGCATAGTATACTTGATAACTTAGGTATTGTAGAGTTTTTATACTTTTGCATGCGGGTACAGATTCCAGTGTAATGGGGTCTTGTCCCACCAGAAGACATACAAAGAGAAAGATGTGAATGGAGTGAATGGTTAGTATCAGAAAAAATAACTCTTACCCAACAGTCTGGAAGATTTTAAATGCCTATCCATCCATATATTCATGATGACTTCAAAAAATTTACCACAAACCTAGATAAACACCTTCAACATTCACTGCAACACTGCAAAATTTCTTCTTAAAATCACGGAGAAGAATAATGGGAATAGTAAAGCATAATAGGTAATATGAGTACTGTCAAAAGCTTGCAGCCTTTAGTAAAACAAGAGAAAACCTAGAGATCAGATGAAAAATTTACACCAAAATACATGACCTTTTATCACAGAATCTCGAACAGTACATACTTTATGGAATTTCAACAGGTTGTTTAGGTGCTGTTCATAACTTACACTAAATCAAACAGTTTGACATTTGGAAATATTAACATTAACAACAGAACATCGTTCAATGAGCAACAGGAATTCAGTCACGTTGAGGAGATATGAAGAAACAGAAATCAGTGTATATATTTGCTTCATTCTTCACAAAAGTGTTTTCTGTAGAAGTACGGTATGTTGCTCTCTTTCAAGGAGGTAAGAACACAGCCAGTTAGTTATCCATTTGTCAGTGGTACTCTAGCAAACTTGTTGAGCAGTAGTGGTCTCGGTTTAGATTCAAAAGCGGAAGTATAGTGTAGGAATGCTCAGCAGGCATATTTCTTATCCATTTTTAAGCTGAACACCATGCAGGAAAAGATCAGCATATTAGCTAGGGCCTTTACACTTGTAATCAAACTGATACGGACCAATAAGCTTCTTCAAGGTGGGTTGAAGTACGAATGAAACTATTTTCCTTACGTTTTCAGAGAAGTCGAAGTCATTACTATAGGTTTTAATTGTACATTCGCATCACCGGATATTTTCCATAGGACTGTAGTTATCTTAATCATCTTTCATATCTTCGGTATAAAATTTGTTGGGAAGGATTCATTTGAAATTTTCGTGAATGGATGATACAGGACGTCAGCACAGTTCTCGAAAATAATGTACAAGATTTTGTCAGGAGCTGGACATGGATTGCAGATATTTTCGGACATCAATTTAAGTGGAAGCTAAAACACAACTCTCTTTTTCAAAGTTGTGGGGAGCATAACAAGATGTTTGGAGTACAATTTATGTAAGACACAAACATTTAGCTGGACATCACCACTCGTACATCTCCTACCCGTAAGCTCTTAAAATAGTTTACGCATATCGGAAGAAATTTCACAAGATAGGAGTTTCTGAGTAAACGTAGAATTCCTACATTTACTTGCGTTGTTTATCAGACCATTGAGCCTCCGAAATTCAGAACAGTTTTTCTCCTCATACTTGTAGTCCTTTCAGTTGTGGGGATATAAGTCAGTCAATGATAGAAATATAGTTTCAGTTGGACAACAAACATTAAAGTGAAATTTAGGATAACAAGTGACAGCATCAACGGTGTTTTCCACCAAGTCATTTGTAAATACATAAATCTCAGTCTGTCGTACGAAACATATTTTTCAGACCATGGATATTTTCATCTGAGTAATTCCCGTATTTAAGTTTTAATATTTCACCGAGTAAGAACAATCAAAAGAAATTCGTCTAGTAACGGTGGTTTGAATCTTTTCACTGCTGATGATTAGCAATGCGAATGGTCAATCTCTATTATCATGTCTGCGGAATGTTTAACTGTCTTGAACTTAGTACATGGAACCTCAAATCAGACGACACGCAGTGAAAAAAACAACGATTGGTGATAGGAATGTATCTTATGCCCAAAATAAATCCGAATGATGTATGAATACATCACTTTTTATGTAATTTATTTATAGTCAGATGAGAGGACCGAATTTCTAATTCATGTTCTGAAAGTGGAGCTAGCTAACGAACCAAGGTTTATTGTATTAGACCAAATTACTTTATTCTGTATAGCGAACAAAGTGTGTTTGGGTGATACGAATTAAATTATGTCAAAACACAAAACAAATTTAAACGGTTCTATTTTAGGAAAAGGAAACAAATTTTATTGAAACTACAAAATAACTCCAAAGGTACATTTTGTGCTATGCAATCGAAGGTTTTTTTTTGCACAAAACAGTGTACTGAACAGCAAAAGAAATGGATAACAAATAATTATTCCGTACCTGATTATCAATAAGAAAACAAGAACTTTACCAACATAATATGATTGAATTTCTCCTTAAATGCATTCGAACAATCATTTTCAACAGGCCGTCAAATGCTAAAAATAATCCAGGTAACCATGTCGTAACTTTGAGTTTAGTCAAACAAACTTAATCATCAATTGCTAGGCCACAAACCACAATACAATTAACATAATAAAGTAAATATTAACTAAAGTTGAATGCTGATTATTGAGTGAGATGAACAGAATTCCTGGTTAAAGTCAACTGCAAAATATGATAAAAGAGCATAGAAATAACAACATTGTCCAGTAAATAGCTGTGGAGGGATTTTCACAGTATTCTTTTTTATAAGATTAGGTATAAATTAATTGACCCCGGAAGAATTCGACACTAATTGATCAACAATTTAATAGTATTCCTTCTCAAGATATGATAAAATGGCACAAATAATTAGGGAAAATACAATTTTAAATGTTATTCACATAAAAATTTATCCAGTCATTGCTTGTTACATTGATATGTGCATTCTGTGGATTGCCCCGATATTGCTATTAAGCTATAAGGATTTTAAGCAGAGGTGGTTAGTGACTAGCGGCAGTGGAAGAAAAGTGTCAAACATTCTACAGCTAACTTCTGTCCAACTCTGTTTAGAATTATAGGAACGCACTAAAAAAACACGGACTTTCAATCTCTACACAGTGAGTGATGAGCATGTTTCAAAAATTATCCGATTAAAACGGACAAATACTACTGGACTGATTAAATATCGAGTGACTATTACACAAGTATACATGATATGTTACCACTATGAGTAGAAACTATATTCAACCCATTGAAAATTCACAATTCAGGTAAAAATGTAGTTGGTCAGATTTGTTGTGCAACTGTTTAATGAAAACGAAAGTATTGAAAAATCTTTTAAGTAGAACAACTAACGTAGATAACACAGTGATAATTAATTGCTAAGTTAATTAACATACTGGAAAAAATTTAACTGATTATCAAGTGTGACATAGTTATGAATAAAATAAACTCACTTGACTATTAGTTACTTGTTGTTTCGAATCATCGTTTGGTGTAGTGAACCATGATGAATCATGAAGTGAATGTGTTGATATATCCTGACGAAATTTACGTGGTTTCAATGAATTGAAATCACTTGATTTAGGCAATAATTCCGTCATCCATGTATCACGTTTAGGTTTTTCATTATTCATACAATTTGAATCCACTGAACACTGAACAATATAAACCAAGCAATAGAAAAAAAAATTAATAATAATATAATGAGATAGACTAGAGTCATTAAGCAGAAAGTCAATAAAACCGTTGGTAATTAGGATGAATGTTATCCTTTAGGGTTAGTATTTCTTATTGTATATGTATATACTTGTGACTGACTAGTCCTCTCGTCGGGTATCTGAGACCTGGACTCAGTTTTCAATTGCATAAACCAGCTGATGTCGTTTGGCAGGGAAAACTGTTATATTCGAACTAATTTTGGCTTATTCATGTACAATTGTTATTTCTTATTTACTGGTGTGATATGGTCTGCTTTTGAATGTCGTTAAATGAATGTCTGAAAAATATAGTAACAACAATGATCTTGAACTGATGATCATTGAACTTGTATTCTTATTTTACGTTCGGGCTAGTTAGTATTGAGCTGAAATGTCAGGTTTAAAGTATCAGTTAAACTTGAGTTAATTTGATTTTCTTTAGTTATTCACTGAAGAAGTCATTGGGATATTACAAGCATACTATTTTTATTACTAGCAAAATATGGTTATCTCCCAACACTCCAGATACTTTGGACATTGATCAGACTCAATAACAGTAGTAATCCAATAAATTGCCCTGTATATTTCATAAATTCTTACTAATTTATTCGTATCATTAGACGACCTTATTCTCACTTTTCGTTGACGTAGAGTCAGTCAGCTAGTCAATCAGTTACAGCGTAGAACTTCGTACGTACATACGTAAATCACTTCAAGTTGTCATACTACATGAGCACAGTTGAAGTAGAAAGAACTTAGTGCCACTCATACAAGTGCCCAGTAACTGAGAAAATTTGATATTGTTTTTTTCGCAATACATTGGTCTAAGTTAAGACGAGCAATCCATTCATGTGGAAAATCATGTACTGAAAAAAATATAATTGAAGCACTCGAAGTTGCATGATTTTTCTGAACATATTCATTAGAGAGTACTCTTTGAAAGAGTTAAGTTGTGAGGCTGATAGATTTGTCAAAAGTGTTGACCCCATAATTTCTACAAACCAAAGAAGATGATTTAAAGTTATTAACTTTTAATTGAACTAATGGCAGGATACAGGTAAAAAACAACATCTTAAAGGCAATGTTATCTTTTCCACTATACAGCAGACAATTTTAATAATCTTTACAGCAGATGGCGCATAGACCCAACGAAGTAACTGATTTCCAAACATTGGTATTTAATGTTTATATAAATATACATTGTGTGCTGAGAAAAATCAGAAAGTATGCGAAAAGAATTGAGATATTTAGTGTGACACTTTTAGTTTCTGTAAATTCAATATTTATAATGTTTTTACATTAACAAAAATTGTTTAAAACGAACCAATTGATTGATATTTAACTAATACATAATATTTCACATGATCTTCTATTAAGGAGAAACTAATTTGTTAAGTAATTTACAAGCAAAATTAATAATAAAAGTAATTTTTGTCACGTAAATTGATACCTGAAACATATAAAAAGTAACATACACCAGATTTCAAATGCCGCCATTCTTCTCTTATCTCTTGTCCTGGTAGTAAAGGTCCAATAGTGTCAATCTCTTCAAAATCAGTAGATGCTTTGTAATTATTGACTTGTTCCGAGTCTTTGTTTAATTTCTGTTTAAACACATCAGACGGTAATGCAGGTCCTATTCCAGTAGATGGAGCAAGATCATCAGGTTGAAAAACTGGTCCAATAATAATTTGATTATCATCTTTAAAACTCGATGTTTTTCTAGACATGTTAATTTTATTAAACCTAAGTGGTAGATTGAAAATAATTAGCATTAGCAAAATTTTCATTTACTTATGATAAATTAAATAGAGTTATAAAATTGGGGACGAATCATTTTTTTATAAGTGGGAAGAAATCTATTTTGTACAACGATTATAACTAGACATGTGAACACACTGCGCAAACGTGATCATTTCAACATTGTCAAAAAGCTACAATGTGTGTTTAAACCTTAAAACATGGCTTTAAACTAAGAATGATATCATTCTAGTATAGGAATACATTCAAGAGTGGACATCCATCCATTGTCATTCGTCGAGAATGACAAAGAAAGCTCCACAATTAAATCATTCATATCAAACAACTCAACAATATCAACATGTAGAATTAGCTGTTTGTACCAGCGAATTAGGATATCAAAATGGAATAGGTATAGGCGTTCGTTCATCAGTTGTTTGAATCACAAACATACACACACGAAGATCACGATAACATGTCATCTATCACATCGATTATCATCATCATCATGATTTTGCTGAATAAAACACAAGTTATGTAAAAATATGTGTAATATTATTTAAGCAATAATAGAGAAGAGTATGAAAATCACTTAAATGTATAAAATAATGACAATAATAATCATAAAAAAAAAAAGAAAATGCATTCATTATGAAAAGAAAAAAAACATTTAAATTATGAGAAAAAAAAGTATCACAGATTAATTGAATTATGTCCATAGTTTTCACATTTGAGGTTTTGTTTTTCAAAAGAAATATTGTATCAACTTTTTATAAGTGAAAATAAAAAATATGAGTAGAAAACCAGTAATGTAGCATTGTATTAAACGTAGTTCAGTTGGGAGATAACATTTATTCATTGAATAATTTGTAGATGATATTGAAAGCTGTAAAACAACAGAAAAAAAATGTGAGAGGGAATGGTAATCAGTATTGTACATTATCATAGAATATAATCAATAGGAAGTTTTGTTTGACAAAAGTGCAATTTTGAAAGAACTGATGCTCTATGGTGGATTTAATTGCCTGTCACTTAACTAGGGTTCGCTGTCAAGCATCATCTTACAGTCCAATATGGTGTATGCGATGTCAAGTCACGTAGACTAGTAACCACATTGCAATTACGGTCAATAGGGTTTGATTAGCACTAAGAAGAAGGACTTCGTAAACATAATACTAGTCACTATTCAGTGGTCAATCAACCGCTGCTTAACTATGCGACATGTTCACATCGATCTCAACCATGATTTAATCTAGACAGGATGCATTAATTACACCGATAATGCAAAAACATATGCACATAAATATATAGGTAATTCATGAATGATTGTATTGAGGTCATGAGTCCTGTGTGTTGTATTGTCATAGCTAGGAGGCCTGGTTGATGATTAGTCATTTAGCAATAAGCGAAATAGGGCCGGGTACATAAGTGTGTTAATCCAGTTGACTCTACCATATGAACACACAGGAGTATGACAAAGTGGTATTACTGTTAGTGGTAGCCGAAAACGTTAGTCGAAGAAAACATGATTCGAAAAGAAAATATGGGTTTGTGGCGTAAAAATGGAAAGATAATTAAGAAATAACAGGATCGGTACGATGGGGCGAGTAGAAGGACAGCATAACTTGTGGAATTTCTATGGGCAGGATCATTAATTTTGTTTTTGTTGTAAAATTAATAGATATTTTGGATGCTTTTTTAAATTCGCCAATTTCTAGGTTATCGTTTGACGCATCAATCGTTGTCATATTTCGTATCCTTTCATATTAATAATTAATAAGTCGTTTCCCTATAAATCACTTATGAATAAGTTATGTACAGTGTTTAATTACTTATATGTATTGCTGTATGAGTTTTGAGTCATGATAGAATTATGATAATGAAATACAATGCTTTCGATCTTTAGATTCTAATAAGGCACTGGATTAGGAGGTCGAGGACAAATCAGCGTTAAGGAATTATTTGCTGATGAATGCACCAAATGGCAAATAGGTCAGTGGTTCAACTGAGAGAGACATATCATACAAATAGTTTATCGTTATTATGGCCAGATCACATAGGACTTAACCCAACCCAAACGCAATCAAGCAAGGTTGTGAATGCATATGTGCTCTTGGGAACGATTCAGAACTATTTCACCCATGTAAATTGTTCGCTCTCAATTGCTGTTGTAACTACCGAAACGTCAAATGGGTTATCTCAGTCAAGAAATATTGAAAACCGAATGGAGAACATAACCTAATAGCAACAAATTAATTTATTAGATATTCTTAAAGCAACTAAACATTTATTTCCAATTAATTAGCCATTTAAAATACAACTCCGTAATCAAGTTTATGTCAGTGTATTGCACTAACTGATGAACCAAATACTAAATAAATATATTACAGTTCGAAGTAGTAACTGTATAGTGAAGAGACACTAAACCCCACTACGCTGTAATATTTCAAATTATAAGAAATGAAATTTGGTCGCTGTAGTAAAACATCGTAATTAGACAAATTTAAACTATGTTCTTTAATTATTTATCTGGTACTCTTACATTTGCTTCTGATGAATTTAAGATTGAGAGAAGAAAATTATTCGGATTGTGTGATACAGTGAAGTAAGTTACAAGTCACTCATCAGACAGAAGGACAATACTCAACCAATAGACTAAAATTCGCCGAACATCTTAACTGAAATTATACCATCGAGTGCCGATCCAGTTTTCGAATGGTGAAGTATTCGCCCGAAGACCTGAGGAAGTCTCGAATGGTTACTGATGAAGTGTAGCACATTGTAGCATGACAGAACTAATTCGTATTTTTTAGAGGTACTTCAAGTGAAATCAAAATGTGATGACTACAACCTACAGGTTAAACAGATTTTTACAAAACTTCAACTAAAATTGAAATAGTTGTTTATGTTGAATATTTTTCAATTTAATTTCTGATGGTTTAAGTTATCCTGTTGTGTGAATATTTTTGACTGAAATTTAATCAATCTTGGCTGACATATCAACTCTGTTGACAAGTCCACCCCAACGTAAATAAGATGGAACGCTTGTTCTGGATTCCAACACTGGGCACATTCCATTTATTCCATATATAAATATATTTGTTTGTTGTACAATCATTTATTTGATTATTTCCACTTCAGTGATTCACGTTTCGTTCGATTCCTGCTTTGAAATGTGCCAGACAGACAGACAGATACAACACAGAACTTCGTACATAAGTACATCAGTTCAGGTTGCCATACCACGTCAGCATAGAGACGTAACTGTCAGTTCAAATCCAAGAGTGATAGCGATAGTAGAATTGTTAGCAGCAATGGAGATTAGGGAGCGAAGATATGATTCGAAAAGTATAATTCAGTGAGATAAATTTAGAAAGAGAAAGATTATGAGGAATTCAGAAGGTTAGAATTTCATAGAGCGAAAAGTGTAAATGCACCTGCGCCATTGCAAACGATTCTGAACCATGTCGTTCAAGGTCTCTAAACATTGGTGACTTTCATCTCGCGGACCCCAACCAGAGAGCCTACATATACCAACATGACTCAGTCCACTTGAAATGTGCCAACTTAAGGGGATAAACATCTGTAGTTGAATTAGTAAACTCAAATACTACTGAATGAAACACAGCGTAAACTTAATCATTGTCTATGTATTGACTGAAGTTGGTTGACGTACAAACCACTCTAGTATTATCGTTACTATTATACTAGTGCAGTAAATTTCAAATCAATCAGTTACATATTTTACAGATGATAGTTTGATTAACATACCATTAGAAATCCAGGATTTGCAAGATTTCTCCAAGAGAAGCTAGCAACTGACCATTCTACAGCAGAATCCGATTGGTTACCGAATTGATGTAACATTTTACATGAATAGTGTGTATGGCCAGATAGTATCAGTCGTGGACGAAGAGATTCAAGTAACTAATTTTATTTAGAACAAATAATATAAGGATAATAACTCTAACACCAGGAATGAAATGAATTCAAAATTTTACAGCAAAAACTATAACTTACTGTTACACTGACTGACATAAATTTAACGATAACTGGTAGTCGATGTTTACATATGATAGCTGAATTTCTCTAGATTAACATTCAAATTTACGAATGGCATCGACTATTTCAATAACATCATGCTTTAGAAGTAGTTCACACGTAATATAACCAAGTAAATTCATTTAACATTATTGGGGGAAAATAGTATCACAGGATGAAAGCATTTCTACCTTATTGTGATCAATTAAAAATAAATTTAACCTGAAAATTGACATCTAATAAATTTGAATATAAACATATTTTTCTTCACGTAGGCCCAACTCCAATCTACTTAGATGAACGATGAAAGAAAGTCAGGATTGACCAAACTAAAGCTTGACGTAAGTCCATAAAAAGAGTGACAACTGAACTGAGCATTGTAGGTAGATTTAAACTACCTGGCTGGGGTTCGTGACCATAACACGACTTAAAACCATTCTCAATGAGTATCTACCTTTATTTCCTACTTAGACCTTGAGCCCTGAAATCCCTTTATACTCTTTTTCCGGTTTACCATTTATAGTCCTTAATACTAACTATTGCTGACAGTTTCTACTTCTACCATCGGGTTTGTCTTGATAATGTTATCTTACTGCGGTAATCAGGTGTGGAAAGTTGAAACAATATACACGTGTCAGATTCAATACTGTATACGACTGATTGACTAATAAGTGTTTATATCAGCTAAATAACCATTCAGAAACTGGAGCAGCGACAATGTGATCACGAGTGACTTAGTCCAAGGTGCTTTACCAATGCACTTCAGCTTGTTAAAACTGGAGACCACTCTTATTCGGGCTCGCTTGATGGCCTAATACTTCTTAGTGAGCAGATTCTCAAATAACCTCATGGAATATAGCAGTGGCTTACTTATTAAGGCACTTAAATTTCAACCACTTAATTGCAGGTCCGAACTCTGATCCACTCACTTCGATCATCAGCGCTCCTACTCAAATGAATATGTAGCTGATTTTTTTAGTTGATAAAACTTGCTTTTAAAGACAGACAATATATGAACTTATTTATTCATGTTACTGCAATTAACATATTAAAAAAACCGGTGAAATTTGTAAAGTACTTGTTTTGTTGCCTCTTTTGAAAGGCAATCAAGTTTTGGTCTGTTTAGAGTTTTTCTCAAGTGTTTTGGCATAGCATCTACCGGTTTTGTAGGACATCCAGTGTCAGAAGTTCGGTACAAGGGAAAATGTTGTAAAATAACCGGACGTGAATAGATGAAGGAAGATGGATCTGAAATAAGAGGAAATTTAAACAGTAAAACAATAATAATTTTTAAAAAAGCTAAGCAGTTAAACAAATAAATACTTATGCCTACATAATTACTTGGTTGAAGAGAAATAAGTGGTCAGATGAAACAATACTTTTTCATTTTAAAAAGGTCAACAAGACGAATGATATTAGTGACGAGTACAGTAATACTAAACTGACAAAATACGAAATAGTTTAGCTAGCCTTTCAATAAACATACCATATTTTGACATAATCGCTGCGTCAAATTCGAAGTGGGGATCACCAGTTCAGTGGCCAGCGATCTGACTCCAATAGTTACGAATGACCGAGTATGCTATGAAATATCGTATATCAAACTTAGGCTAACTCCGTTTGTGCGACGGGGGTAACAAGAAGTGAAATGCGGTTTGCGGATTAATTTATTTCATGCAATCGTTCACACAAGCAGATGAGAATACGAAGCGTAAAAGCAGAGCGAAGCGAAGTGGAGAAGGTGAGTGAGCCAACTCCTTGCAATGAAGCATGAATAAGAATTTATAGTCAAACAAAAATAAGCTATAAGTGAAGTAAGCATGTACACACGCACTCAAACGAAGGTTATGAGCGAATAAGAAGGCAGGTCGAAACGCCGGTGAATAACTAGAGAAGAATGAACTAATCAGTTTGTCCAAAGGCTGGGACAAGCCGTGCGGGCTCAATATATTATTACACATACTACTCAAACATTAAGAAAAGCTTCTTCCTTTTTATAGTTAATGTCTATTAAGTTTGGAGAAAATCTACATTGTTAATCACAATAGTATAACTGTATATTGACAATGAAAATGAACTTACAATTAAAAGCCATGAATTTCGGAAGACAATTGATTCTCTATAATCAGGAGCAAAGTTTGGTAATACTTTAACAATAAGGAAATCGAAAGCAATATTAACAAGTCCCTAGTGTTTCATGATGGTGTATCAGCTTTCTTACACTTTGAGGTCGATTTATGACCGTACAGAATAAAATAGTTAGCCAAGACGACCATTCCACTTCTAGACGTCTTGTAAGCACTGATGACTGACCAGATCTCGGGAAGGATAAGAATATGTCGTTTCGTTTTTTCAGACTAACACCAGGTGGGATGCTAGGAACATTTCGTCAACCTATCAAGAAGTTGCTATACTTGGCATCAATATAATTTATATGACTTAACATTTTTTTCAAATACGGCCCGTGAAGTTAGACGAAACGTATAGCTAGCTTACCAACATTTAACCACAAATGCCTTTCAAGTATCTATTGTATATAGCGAAGACGTCAAGTGAGTGATAGTGCGCGTGCGTGCAGGAAAATAGGAAAAGATGGTAAGCCTATTATTGATAAGAATGTGACCTTTTACTGACTAGTGTGATCGGGACATGTTACGTGTAACAAAATACAGTCTGTTCGGAGATATCAAATCACTGGCTCAAATAAAGATTCAAATCAAACCGAGTTCGTAAAACTATTGACTGTGGAGCTGAGCCATGTTGATAAGCGTAGACTCATCGGTTAGTATCTGTAGGACAATTGCCATCAACAGCTGAATGCCTTAGTTAATACGGCTAGAAGTCAGTTGCAGTATTACAGATGTATCCATGTCCTATCTTTTACTAGATCTCTAGCCTACATATTATTTTAAATATTTTATTCTTCAGTATTATTTCTTTCGTTTAAACTACATTCTCTGAATTAGGCCATTACTGAAATTAATATGGATAGTAGTCATATGTTGTCTATTTGAACCTTATTAATTTACTTTAGCTATCCTATAGAAATGAGGAAGACATGTGCCAGATTTTATGTTATGTTTGCTTGATTAGTGTATAATACCTTCAAGATACCTTTGAGGATTAATATACATAGTGACGAATTAGTTTGAGACTAATTTTCCCGGTTTATCCTTTTGCAGAATAAGAGTTTTCAGAGACAACTATACCATTACAAATGCGGATAACTAAACAAATGTCATAATGATGGAAGTAATGAACATAAATAAAGACCTAATAGGTATGAGCTTCATAATCTAAATTAATTATATTGTAAGTAAGAAATTTATTACAACTTACCATTACGGTCGAGAACAATGTAGGGATATTTGTCAGAAAGACCCATACTAAGTTCGTGAGAGAAACAACTCTTGGCATTAAGTGGAGTAGACATCTTTAAACAATCAAGATATCTTGTTATTGATTTTAATATGACATTGGCCTTGAAACATAGATCACAATTGTCACCTTCAAAAGCGACACTGTTTGCAATAACAAAATGGATCCCGAAAAAGGTCCATAGATAAATAGGCGGTGTGTAAATATTATTTCCAATATCCCGGTGAAATCGATTATTCAAAAAATCATCGGTGCTAATTAAAAAAAAAAGTGAAACGAATCATTCTGATAAAAATCTATGTTCACACAGTAACTGTGAATTTGAAATCATCCAGAAATACGAAATGTGTACAATAATCTCGTAAAATCATAAGGAATAGATAAAATGTGGTCGATATTTATTTTTTTTCAAGTGAATTACTATGTACTTCAAGACGGCTAGAATCGCAGTGGTAAACGTTCGGCATCCATTCTGAACTTGTTTGTTTAAAAGGATACTACCAGTTAAGGATTACCATCAAATTAGGGCACGATCTAACGAAGAACACTTCTACTACCATAGGAAAATATTTTGCACGTTTTGGTTTATTCTCTACATCAGCATACAATCTAATAAAACTTTTATCGCAACTATTATTGCTTTCTGTATATATCTACGGAGTTAAGCACAGTAAATAGAAATTTGGAAGTCAATACTGTTTGGTTCTGTCATATTCAGTGTGTCGTCACATCAGTAAAAACTGAAAGAGATTGATTTTACACATACTGTGTAGCATTAAAATTGAAACAACGCCTACATAGCTGGCAAGACTTGGAACTAACTTTATGTTCCATGTGATAAGAACTATCTGTAAACAAAAAACAACTTTACGTAACAAAATTAATCAACATAAATGACGCACGCATAATGAAATCCAATATCATGATTTCCAACAACTGTTTTAACCAATGTTCTTGTTTTATCATGATGAAAAATATCGTGAAATCTTTCCACTAAAGAATGAAAATCATCAATTGTAGCCCATTTTCCTTCATCCAATATATCTCCTAATATTATAACGGCATTAGGATCGTGTAAATATAAAGCAGCTTGAAAAGCACGTTTCATTTGCCAATCCCTGGAATCATAGATGTAGAATACAAATACTCAGAATATTGATGCGGCATCATGCATTCATATTAAGATATTATATTTTATGTTATATTAATATTTCTTGCTTCAGTTCATTCATTTTGATCAGTTTAGTGATATTATTTCAAAAAGAAAGCAAACGTTAAAGACAGAAACTATAAATCAGTCAGTCAGTTGCAACGTAGAACAACTTCGTACGTATGTACATAAGTTCATGTTGCTATACCACAGCACAGAGACGCAAATGTCAAATCAAATCCCATAGTGATAAAGATAGAAGAGGTATTAATGTTAATAAAGAAGACTAGGGTTCGAAGATATTATTCAAGAAATATAATTCAGTGAGATAAGGTTAGAAAGACAAAGGTAGAGGTGCTGACGAATCCAGAAGATTAGGATTTGAGAGAGCTCAAAGAGTGGATGCACCTGCGCCATTGCAAACGATTCTGAGCCATGTCGTTCAAGGTCTCTAACCATTAGTGACTTTCGTCTCGCGGACCCCAACCAGATAGCCTACATCTACCAACATGACTCAGTCCACTTGTCAGTGACTTCATGGATTTGTGCCATGTTTTGGTCTGGCCGCCCCTAACTTTCTTCCAACCTACTCCTACACTACAAAACATAGCTCGTCGAGGCAGTCGGTGGTTAGGCATACGTAACACATGTCCCAACCACCTCAACTGATGAAGTTTCACCACTTCATCTATTGATCTGCCATCCTTACCTAGTACTCGTTTCCTAACGACAGCATTGCTTACTCGGCTGTCCCAGGATATACGAGCAATGCTTCTTAAACATCTATGATCGAATACTAGTAACCTACGAACATCTACTCTTAACGGCCATGTTTCACAGCCATATAAGAGAACGGAACGAACTGCTGCGCAGTACACCCTTCCTTTGTTTAGTGAACGGATATCACGCCTACGCCATAAATGACGCAGGTTGGCAAAAGCCAATCGAGCCTTCTGTATCCGAGCTGAGATTTCGTCAGTCACCAGGCTATCAGCACTGATGAGACTCCCGAGATAAGTGAAGCGGTCTACACGCTCGACTACTTCACTCCCTATCACTAGTTCAGGTGCCGATGAAACCCCATCTTGAAGCAACATTTTACATTTCGAGGGGGAAAACCGCATCCCGAACATGCTTGGATTGTTGCTTATGGTAGTCAGAAGACTGCATTTTGTCAGCGTCTTCACCGAATAGAACTATGTCATCGGCATATTCTAGATCAGTAAGCGACTTTCCTCGTAGAAGGTCAACCCCTGAAAAATCTGACGAGCTTAATGTTAACTCTAAGAGGATGTCTACGACAAAAGTAAACAAAAATGGAGAGAGTGGACAGAAACTATAAATTCTGTGTAATGAACTACCAATAAAGACATACCTGATGTATGGAGATTAATTTTATTTAACTTCCTAAAAGTGGTAAAGTAAATGTTGATTCGATCAGTGAAAAAAGTATGAAAGCCAAGAAAACAAGCAGACGCAATGTAGATTGTCAATGACTGTTTCTCTTATGACAATAGGGTATGATAATTGTAAGTGGAAACTGACAAAACTTAAATAGTATGAGCAACATGTTGCTGAAAGAATATTTCTGTTTGGTCTAGATACGTGTTATAATTCAAAAGTAAGTCGGTGGGGATTTTACGAATAAGAATGAATTCCAAAGCGTTCTGATAAAGTATGTATATATTTTAGTGTAAGCGACAGTACATAGGGCAGTGTAGTATTCAGTTACGTTGTGAGGAATCCTGATTACTGCATTGCATACATTACAATTACACCGTCTTACATTACCTGTATTCGAATTTCTGAAACCAGTTATAAACAAAAATTTTCATGGAAATGCATAATGTTGATTTTCAATCACAGATAAAGTAAAACAATTACATATGCGATTCACAACCTTTACCACTCATTACCTACTTACTACTTTACATGAATGTGTTTTCTTCCGATAAGCGAACAGGAACTAATACTAAGTAGGTGGAAAACTCATGCTACTTGTTACCCCATATAATGAGCATGTGTTATGCTGTTACATATATGGCTCGCAAGTAGTCTACAACAATTAGGAGGAGAATTGAATGCATAGAAGTCTATAGTTTACGTTAATTATACAGTAGTGTCAAAAGCTAATTTAGGTAAATGTTCCAATGAGTTGTGACTGCAGTAAGATAATTAGCTTTATTTTGACATGATAGTTTCATAAACGTCAGTGAATAGTTTGAAAAGAGATCGGATTTTAAAGCACAGGTCAACCTACTTTGAAAAGCTAGGAAGTCACTACAGAAACCTTAAATTCATGCAACCTATTACCAATCTAGTTCATTAAAGAAATACTTAACCCTTAGAGAGTGAAACCGTACGTTATTTTCCTTACAATGTGGTTGAGAACCCAATTTGTGAGTTATGAAAGTCGTTAGATCTTTTAAGAAATACTTAAGATAAATTAGGAAAATACTTTAAGCGATTTCAAAGGACTCCAGTGTTTGAAAAAAGTCGCGCTATTACACAGATCTACAGAGTTTACGGAAGTATTACATATAGCTGTTGATTTACGTATGTACCAAGTTCTACGTGGTAGCTGACTGACTGATAGAATAAACTACTACGTTTAAAATGATAACTGGGCTTGAAATTCTGACTACCGCTTTGAAAGCTAGAAATTAAGACCATACAATACCACTGATAATATCCTGGATTGCTGATATACGTTTATACATAGTGCATCGGGATTAAAGTCAGACAGTCAGTCAGTTACAACGTAGAACTTCGTACGTACGTACATCCGTTCAGGTTGCCATACCGCATTAGCACACAGACGCAATTGTAAGATCAAATGCAATAGTGGTAGCGATGGTAGAAGTATTAGCAGTAATGGAGAAAATTAGGGTTCAAAGATATAATTCAGTGAGATAAATTTAGAAAGCGAAGATGGTGAGGAATTCAGGATTTGAGAGAACACAAAAAATGTGGTGGTGTTTCGTTCTCTGAGCTGGTTGTTTTGGTTGTGGAGCTTTCATTGTTCTTATGAACAACATCATCAGCACGAACTCCAGATAGAAGTGAAGCATTAGAATTTCTCCACGTTTGACCTGTAGCTTGTTCTGCTAACCAATCAAGATCGAGGTTAGCAGAACAAGGTACAGGTCAAACGTGGAGAAATTCTAATGCTTCACTTCTATCTGGAGTTCGTGCTGATGATGTTGTTCATAAGAACAATGAAAGCTCCACAACCAAAACAACCAGCTCAGAGAACGAAACCACCACAATTATCCACCTGAGCTACAAGTTTTCTCCACCATCTCAAAAACACAAAGAATGGATATACCTGAGCCATTGCGACGATTTTGAGCATTTCATAACATTTAGGAGAGATAAACTGCACTACCGTATGATTGAGACGAACCTAAGCGAATTCATGTTCCGATCGATGCAGGCTGTTTCAGCTGACGTACACGATCGTTAAATCATGACAAAAGAACACCCAGGCTTTTCACTTGATGTGATGCAATTCTAAACACTAAACGCTATTTCGCTTGCAGTGTTAAGATAAATGGACCAGCATCACTAGGTATTACACTGCTCAATATTTATTGCATTGTAACACCAAAATGATCAAAGTGAAGCCGGAAGTAATTCACGATAATTTCAAAAAACCAGATTGACTGTATGAGAGTATGGAGGAACGACAATGATGCTACAATTAACGTCAAACTGCCTAATTAAGAACTATGAGGTAATTCTTTATTTACTTAAATATTTAAACACTGGTACAAAGAAGCAGCTAAATACATATAAGCCACACAACTTATCAAATTTGTGGTTGGGGTAGGATAGCTCCGGGTTCTTAGACCGAATTAAGTTAACAAGGCAGCCGAATTATCGCCCACTGAGAAACTAGACAGGAAATTTGATCTTACGTGACACAATAAAGCTGACTACTGGAGCCATGCAAATATTTGTAAAGACAATAAACGATTCAAACCTTCTAATTCGGTCAACAGGATGACCTAGAGCATATCCAACAAGATGTGTGTCGGCTAATACCATCATATTGACTACTTTGGTGTCTAAGCTTGATACTTTTTCCACACCAGCACTGCGTAGGTCGGGCCAGTTACAATTGTACAGCGTAGCATAATAAATAAGATATTCACAAACCCATACTAAAGCTATGAAATAAAAGACGAGGCACCATCTTTTTCTAAATATAATGTGACGAATTTTCGGAAGAAATCGGAAGGTGAATAGTCTTCTGGTACTCTAAAACAAAGAACAGAAGTTGTTTACAATCTAGAAGACAAAACAAGAACGAAAAGTCTTTATTATTGTATTGAAGTTTATTTTGACATGTATTTGTAATACAGTTCTCCAACGTCATATATTCCAATGAACTTCCATCCATCCTCCTTCATATGGTACACTACAAAAAGAATTTGCTTATAAGCTACAGAAGAAACATACAGTTAACAAATCCACCAGACGCTGCATCACGGTGTGTTGCATGGAATATTGATCGCCTAGCAAGTTCATATGCATCTTCATCACTCATTTCATACTTATAGCCAGTATCTAAAACACCATAGGCGTAAGGACTTCCAGATCCCACAGAAAACAGATTTCCAGGGATTCTGTTGCCATCTGTATCAACATAATACACACCAGGTCCATTCTTGTCCCAACCAACAATTGTTGTACCAATACTCAGGCCCATTCCTTTGTAATTGTACACCATATTCGCCAATAACTTTGATGCGGCAGCAACGGATATCCTTTCCTTGTTCCTAAGCTCAAACAACCTAAGACATCACCAGTAAGTTTTAGGCTTTACCTGCAATGTTTAGCCAAAACACGCTCCCAAAATTGACAGTCTGCAGCACCCCCAGCCATAGTCCCGAGGAGATATTTGTTGATCTCGATTATTTTTTTGGTAGTACCAGAGGCTAGACAATGAACTGGTCGTAAGAAAACTCACCAATATAAGGTCCAGCTGTTGCGCGAGAGTCCGTTGCGACGATAACGCCACCAGAATATTTGAATGCGAGAGTAGTTGTGCCGTGGAGGAAATTAATCTTTGTTTCTTTGCACTGTATACCATGTTCTATTGGTTTTATAAAGTTCTAGGACACTTGTAAGAAACCCAGTACAATACCTCGGATTTCGGACTCCAATAAAGATCCACTTCTGAGAGGTGAGTGCACACATTCTTTGCTTCAGGATCTTTTCCGAGCCTATTTACAACTTCAAAGCCAGTTATATCTAACAGAGCCATGATGAAGCAAGTGAGGCGCACAGATTTGTATAATTGCCGTATTTCAAACTTCAAACTTTACTAGCCACGGATAAGGAATCAAATACTTCTTGAATTTTATGTCTGAATAGTAGGGAAATTTTTCTTGGAGTGGTTAAAACAGTTCTGTTTTTTTACTCTTATTAGTGATAGATAAAATTAATTTAGCTAACGACGTTGAGAACCTCCAGGTATTGTCACGCATATGACTTATGTAACGTTTAGAATAATTCTGGAGTTATAGCACCAATTTTTCCTCTCATTTGAATTGGTTGCGTCCACTGTGTAGTTTGAACTGCTTTGGAGGCTTTCAGTGGTTGTCGAACAGAGACAGCGCTCTGAGAAGATACTAGGGAGAAGACATCCCCTGTGTTTTCAAGTCGTTTGCGTCCTGTGAGGCAGAATTTATGTAACATGATATTGCGACTGGCTTCGTTTTAGACCGTTTTTTACAGCCCATTCCTCAATGGATGTAGGGTCCTTTTGAAGCTCCGTTGAATAGTCTTCGATTTTAGTGAACCTACAGGTCTTTTTATGGTCTGCGTAGGTCAATGGCGCCGAACTAACTTTATCCAACAGGTCGTTAATGAACATCAGGGAGAGGAATGGACCAACTCTTGACAATGACACTCTCCAATTCGTGCACTCTCCACTTACCTTGGTATGGAACTTCCTGTTTTCTAGGTAGTTTCAGAGGTAAGATAGAAGTGGGACACTGTAGCCCATCTTCACGACCTTCGCTATTATGAGCACGTGCAGTACCGTTTAATGTTGCATGGACAAGTATTTCTTGCTCCCATTAGGTTGTCCAGCTGTCTCATACTATGATAAGATTGAATGCGCAGGACCTATCTTTCCGAAACCCGTGTTGAGCTTCACAGATGATTTCGGTTTTATCCGTGCACTCCCTCACGTTTTCATTCACCATTCCTCCGTGGTAGTAATTTGACTGGTCTGTAGCCACCAGGCCGTAGCCACTCTATCTCCTTCTTTGAAAATCGCATGGAGACAGTAGCCTGTTTCCATTCAGCTGGAAGTTAGTGTGTCCCCAGAATGTTTCAGAATTATAGGAAGAATATTGTCACATCATGGTGACTTTCCCGGACTCAAAGATTTTATTTTACTTAGTACTGAGTCGGAGTGAGTCGGATATTCCCTTGGCCGTCATCTGGCACTAGGTTCGAGTAGTACTCTGAACTTGTAGATACCTGATTTAACTGATCAGTGAAGTTGACATTAGAGATATCAGCAATCTCTAGGTTGGTAAGATCTTCGCCATTTGAGCCTTTGACGACACAACACCCTGGTTAGTAGTCATGAACCTAAACAGATATTTTGAGTTTGCCTGTATTTTGTCAGCTAGTTCCGTTTGGAAGTGTTTCTTATTGCTGCGAACTTAGCCATTGCATCTGTTTCTCTATGCCAAGTGATGACTACGGTCGGAATCTTTCAGAGAGACTTTCCACTTGTACCAGGCTCTCCTTTTTTGCCAGCAGCAAGCGTTCAGTGACTCACTTAACTCATTTTCTTCCCTTTCCGGGTGTATGGTGCACCTGTGATACACTGTTTAGGACAGCACTTTGTATGATATCTCTCACTAGTTCTCAGTGTTCATCTGCTGTAAGCCACAACCATTCCTGTGGCCATAGGATATGCGCGTGTAGTTCGCCCGTTTTCGTCCTACCTGAGTGTTTCGTTCATGAACATGTTAAAAATGACTATTCGCTACTGGATCATGAACGTGAAAATCCTCGACTAGGAGCTGGTCCTTAATGGACCTCTCTTGATACTCTTGTAAAAATTGAAGAAAGGAGGAACAAGAAGGCAGCAGTGAATGTCAGCCGAACAAGAGCAGAAAAAGTTACCGCACAAGCAAACAGGGAAGTGAAGAAGAACATCAGAGCCGACAAACGAAAATATGTGGAAGATCTAGCAATGACGGCGGAAAAGGCTGCACGAGACGGAAACTTGAGACAATTGTACGAAACAACAAAGAAGCTCGCTGGGAACTATCGTAAACCAGAACGACCAGTGAAAAGCAAAGAAGGCAAAGTAATCAGCAACACTGAACAACAGCGAAATAGGTGGGTAGAGCACTTTAAGGAACTCCTAAATCGACCAGCTCCACTGAACACACCCAACATCGAAGCAGCATCCACGGACCGCCCAATTAATATTGGCGCACCTACGATTGAGGAGATCAGTATGGCCATCAGACAAATCAACAGCGGCAAAGCAGCAGGACCAGACAACATTCCAGCAGAGGCAATGAGAGCATGTAGAAGCAACTGCGGAAATATTTCACATCCTCTTCAAGAAGATTTGGGATGAGGAACAAGTACCATCAGATTGGAAAGAAGGATACCTGATCAAAATACCAAGGAAAGGCGACCTGAGCAAGTGTGAGAACTACAGAGGCATCACTCTTCTTTCAATACCAGGCAAAGTCTTCAACAGAGTATTGTTAAACAGAATGAAGGACTTCGTAGACGCCCAACTTCGAGATCAACAGGCCGGATTTCGTAAGGATCGATCGTGTACTGACCAAATCGCTACATTACGGATCATTGTGGAACAATCAATTGAATGGAACTCACCGCTCTACATCAACTTCATCGACTACGAGAAAGCATTCGATAGCGTGGATAGGAAAACACTGTGGAGGCTTCTTCGACACTGCGGTGTGCCTGAGAAAATAGTCAACATCATACGGAATTCTTATGATGGATTCAACTGCAAAATCGTCCACGGAGGTCAGCTGACAGACTCTTTTGAGGTGAAGACCGGTGTCAGGCAAGGTTGCTTACTCTCGCCCTTTCTCTTTCTCCTGGTCATCAACTGGACGATGAAGACGTCAACATCTGGAGGGAAACACGGTATCAACTGGACAGGTACGATGCAGCTGGACGATCTGGACTTCGCAGATGACCTGGATCTTCTATCGCACACGCAACAACAAATGCAAGAGAAGACGACCAGTGTAGCAGCAGCCTCTGCAGCAGTAGGTCTCAACATACATAAAGGAAAAAGCAAAATTCTCCGATGCAACACAACATGCACCAACCGAATCACGCTTGATGGAGATACCTTGGAGGACGTTAACACCTTCACATATCTTGGCAGCATCATCGACAACCAAGGTGGATCGAACGCAGATGTGAGGGCGCGGATTAGCAAAGCAAGGGCTGCATTTCTACAGTTGAAAAATATCTGGAACTCCAAACAACTTTCAACCAAAAACAAAATCAGGATTTTCAATACAAATGTCAAGATAATTCTACTGTATGAGATAGAAACTTGGAGAACTACGAAAGCCATCACGCAGAAATCAGGAAGAAGCGGTGGAAGTGGATAGGACACACATTGCGTAAAGCACCTAACTGCGTCACGAGACAAGCCCTCACATGGAACCCTCAAGGCAAAAGGAAAAGAGGAAGGCCAAGGAACACACTACGCCGAGAAATAGAGAAAGATATGAGAGGAATGAACAAACATTGGACAGAACAGGAGAAGGAATCCCAGGACAGAGTTGGTTGGAGTAAAATGTTTGGCGGCCTATGCTCCATCGGGAGTAACAGGCGTAAGTAAGTAAGTAAGGAGCTGGTCCTTGGTTAACAAATAATCTAAGTTTGAGGATATTTCCTTCCAAGTCCATATAGAGGCACTGAATGCATGCTAAACCAGCCTAGAGCCTCTAATGGCTGTGGGAAGCTGGGAAGTAACAACCGCCCTCTTTCCCGTAACAGCACACAAGACCAAATAGGTCACAAACAATGACTGCGCCAAGTCGTCTTTGGAACTAATCATTGGAAATTGCTGATATTTAGAGATGGGGTGTTGAAATCTTCAGTTAAGAGTGTTTGACTTAACTCATAGAGTGACAGGTGCAGTATTGCCTCAGTCAGTTTGTCTTTCTGGACCTTAGTAATGTGTGGGGCAGGTAGACCGCTTCAAACAAGTATTTCGCGCGGAAACAACACAAACATGATTCTGTCACCTTGGTTAATTGGGTATCGTGTAGCCTGCAGGCTTTAAATGGCTGTTAATAATATATATAGTCACTCTACTTCATCATGTTATAATTAGATGGAAATAATATTTCTTCGGAATCACTTACTGATTGTTAGCCGTTGCCAGTTTTTTAAGGTCAGGAATCGTATCCGTAAGTTTGTAACATAATCACTGAACACTGTTCAAAATAGCTTTAATATTTAGAAGTTTTCTATTATCTAAGCTTTTGAATGGCACATGCAAGAGTATAACACTAACTGAGAATTTTGCTCCGGGCTCTAAGTCACTGAATTTCCTTTCTTTAATCAGGAACCTAGGAAACGTATGTAGATGGCTTTATAAGAATGAAATGATGACCCTAGTAAAAATCAGACATTTAAACGTAAATTTCTCATAACAAATGAAATAAAAATTACTAAAAAAGCCAGATATCATGCTCTCAATAGTCAGTAATGGCTATTCTCAAACATCATTGTAAATATTGTGTTCCTCCACCTCATATGAGTAAACATATTTTGAAAATATTCAAATAGGAGTTTCGAAATCAGTTTCTGACTTCAATTCGAACACATACGAATAGAACAACAATGCATGTTTTAATATAAGCAGTAATGACTTAATAAACTGTATTTCGAATAACATATAATTGTATATTCCTAAATGTATGTGGAATATATTCATCACTTCTTCACAGGGAATAATGAATTATCGGAAGATGGTATATATCTTATATGCTTTGTAAACGTTTAAGTATAACACACTACCGTTTACTGGTCGTATTATTATTTCTTGCATATTTGAAGAACGATTTTTCTGAGTAAAGAAGTTCTCAGTATATGACTAGACGTTTTTAGGTTATTAGGTCATTATCATGCAACTTCTTGACTAGTGTTTTGAGATAAGGTTCACCCATTTTATTGACACCTTTTTTCCCTGCATATACACAAACTTCTTTTCAGTAAAATAGATATATTTACTCATTGTCGCATTCTGGATAACTTCAGTGGCATGGGAAACACTCCGTATATCTCGGACAATGGAGCATGGTCTCATTCCTAGCCGTTTGATCAAATTCAATAGGAAGTGGCTTGACAACGATAGCTGTAAACCAAAAGATTATTCCTGGTATCCTTACAATTGATCTAGCGTATACAACCGTACCAAGGTTAGCAATCTGATGTCCAAGTGACTTTGAAGAATATGCTTCAAATCGCAATCCAGAATATTATATTACCATGACCAAGTTACTGGTCTGCCAAGCTCA